GACCCAAGATATTTAAATCGTTCACACCTTTTAATAATTTGATCACCCAAAGTCACACTTTTGTCACTAGAGCTATTACTACTAAAATTACATTCAATGTATTCAGTTTTAGTTCTACTTAAACGAAGGCCTTTAGACTCCAATGTAGACCTCCATAATTCAAGTTTTTCCTGGGCTTTTTCTCTCGTTTTATCCACGAGAAGAATATCATCAGCAAAAAGCATACACCAAGGTACATCCTCTTGTAGATGTCCAGTAAGACCATCCATAACTAAAGCAAAAAGATATGGGCTTAAAGTCGATCCCTGATGTAAACCAACAGAAATAGGAAAATATTTTGTCAATCCTCCTTCAGTTTGAACACAAGTAACAGCTCTAGTATACATATCTTTAATGACTTGAATATAAGTCATATCAACACATTTCTTCTCGAGAACTCTCCAAAGGATATCTCTTGGAACCTTATCGTAAGCTTTTTCTAAATCAATAAAAATCAAATGTAGATTCTCCTTATTATCTCTGAACTTCTCCATCAAACCTCTCAATAAATGTATAGCTTCCATAGTAGACCTACCAGGCATAAATCCAAATTGATTATGAGAAATTTTCGTGATGCATCTTAACCTATGTTCAATTACCCTCTCCCATAATTTTAAAGTATGACACATGAACTTAATTCCTCTATAATTTGCACACTCTTGTGCATCCCCTTTATTCTTAAAAATGGGGATCAAAATACTCTTCCTCCACTCCTCAGGCATCTTTTTAGTTTTTAAAATCTAAATTATTAATCTCCTTAGCCTTTTCTCCAACTCATTTAGTTTCTTGAATACATACAATATTAATCTTTCGCTACATCCAATATCAACTAATTCCATTAATTTACCATTGATAGTATCTATATTCCAAGATCTTATCCTAATATTAGTTTCATGGACTAACTTCTTTACCCTCATCTGTCCGTAACGTGAGAACCCTTGCTTATTTAACACTTCACCCGGGAGCTGGTGTAGTGGCTCTTGCACACTTTTCACTGTATTCAAGCCATACAACGCGTCGCTTCCAGAGGATGCCCCAACACTTACACAATGTTCAAAAGAATTCATTTTATGATTTTATTTCGACAAGTTTTACGTTGTTTGTCGACCACCTAACGCTACCCTCCATTTTTCACATCCGAGCTTGGGACCGACATTGGCAGTGTTACAATGATGATCTTATCAATTAGATAAAAAATCAATCTAACATAAGGTCTGGTATTTCATTATTTATAGACCATGCTGAATACTTTTGAAAATGCATGTTAAAACATTTGGACTTGAGGAGATCTAATGAACATAAATGTTTCATGGTTCTTTTTGAAAAATTATTTTTTAAAAACAGAACTATAAATAAAACCAATTTCTCTATCTTATTTTTAAAGGTTATCGGTAACCATTTTTCTTTCTTGCCTTCCATTTTGCAATGTCAAACTGATTGTGTTGTTTGTTGAAAATTGAGGTTAGTTTTTAGAGAAAACAATGTTTTTTTATTGCATACAAATTTAACATAATCATCTTTTAATTATAGGGGAGACAAAATGCGGAATGAATATATTCGTGATAGGGTTGGTGTAGCTCCTGTGACAGACAAAATTAGAGAAAGTCGTCTTAGATGGTTTGGTCATATTAAACGTAGACCATTAGATGATCCGATTAGAAGAGTAGATGTTTTAGATTTGACTTGTGTTAAGAAAGGCAGAGGTAGACCTAGGAAGACTTGGGCTTATTGTATTAAAAATGATCTTAATTTACTAGAACTAAATGAAAACATCACACTAAATAGGACGCAATGGAGAAAAAGGATTCATGTAGCCGACCCCACGTAGTGGGATTAAGGCTTTGTTGTTGTTGTTGTTGTTGTATCTTTTAATTATAGGGGAGATTACATGTATTTTGTTCGTTAGCATTATTCATAAAATTATGTAGGCACATAGAAAAGATAGATTTTTTTTTTTCAAGATTACTAAGTTTTGTTCCCGAAATGCTTTTCTTTTTCTTTTTTTTCCCTTTTCCTGCCTCCTCTATCACGTCCTTCAGAAGTCTATAAGAACAATTCCTTAAAATAAGCTTTAATAAATTACCTGAATATTATTTCTGAAATTGTTTTGTTGATAATCAAGGAACATATTGAAAATGAATGGTGTAATTTTGTTTTTTTTTAATTGATAAATAATAAATTTAAGAATATGTAAAATAATAGGCAAATGAATCACCTTCCCTTGCTTGCTTTTTTCATCAATTGTCACGAAAATAAATATAGCTAAGCTAAAGACTAATGAAGTTTTATCATATGGAACAAGGAGTGTAGTTTTTTAAACATGCAAGGTAGTTTCTTTCTTTTTTTCCCCTCTCATCAAGTCTTACCGGCGCCCCCCTTTTTTTCATCTAATGCTAAATGATAAAAAATATTTTAAGTGAAAACAGTCTTATAAGATCACACAAGGAAATATGGAATTGAAAGAAAACGAACGTGTTAGTTACATCAAAGGGATATTTTGCATAGAACTGTTGGATAGATTTAATATTTATTTGTTGTGTGCAAATATCAGATGTCATTACATAGCTACTTGGCAATTTTTCTTTCAACAACTCTACTCCTATGTGTAAAGATACTATTAATATCATATCTAATACTTAGCTAGATAACAGTTTCTCTTTCATCCCACTACTTTTTTTTTATAAAGATCCTAGTGAATTCATTTAATTATGGTAAGTAATATAACAGTAGAAGAAAATTATGGCATGCACCGCTTTTAGCTGCTCATAACTATTAAATGAGTATATTTGAAGTAAAAACTCTGCTGTAAAACATCTCTGTTTGTGCAGAGAGCTGATTTTTCTTTTCCTTGTAGCCAAGGCAGAAGACAAGTTTGATGCAGAATGCTCAGTTTCAAACTTCAAATCAATCGGGACAGGCACTGCAAAGCATGCAGGCTATGGGATTGATGGGTTCCCTCGGTTTAAATTCACAGCTTAGAGCAAATGGGCCGCATGCGTATGGGCAACAGCGTTTAACCCCTGGCCAGATGAGGCAGCAGCTGTCACAACAGGCAGCTCTCTCCTCTCCCCAGGTATTTTTCTAAGTTTTGCTTTTGCCCTGTCATAAATTCATTACATATTATACTTATATGATATTTAAAGAAAGTAAATTTATACCTCTGCTGCACTCTGTTACAAAGCTTTCTTTCCTGTTGGTATTCAGCATCTAAGTGCGCTGGGCTTGAGTTACCAATTTTAATCGGAAGCCATATTTAGATTGTGGAATATAATTTTGTATTTTTCATGAACCATTTCAATTGAGTATGTTGATCGGGAAGTGTTTAGAACATAATTTTGTTTATTGTTGGAATAAATTTTAAATTGTTTATTAACTATTTTATTCATGCATTGTTTTTCAAGTAAAACAGATTTGATCAACAGTTTGTTATAGCCTTTATTTGCTAGTATGAAAGCATCCTTGCTTGCCCTGATGGAAAGCACAATCATCAATTGTACTGAAATGAACCCCATCATGCTACAAAAGAATTAATGAAACCAGCAATATACTGACAATTGTAATAGAATTATTTCATCTTTGTGTATTTTTTATCTGGTTCTGTTAAGTGTTTTTTATTTTCGAACTATTTTGAATGTCGCGGGCTTTTTTGCCACAACATCATACCATATTTTTATTTTGGTGCTCCTGTCCTAGTTAAAGCTCTTCAAATCAAATTGTGTGGTTTACTATGGGTACATTCTTTTTTTTTCTTGTCGGATCATGCAATCATTACCTATAAGAAAGGTGGTAGGTTAGCTTTGATGGATTGCAAATTCACTAATAATTATCCTTATCTATGATACTGTTAAAAAGAAGTTTTAAATCCCAAAAAGAGTAGATCTTAGCCATTTAATATTCACTTTTATTCTAAACTGTAAGTATCATTTATTGAATTCACCATTAATTTGAAAAGTATCCTAACTGAATATTCTACTTGCAGGCATATTTTTTTTACTGAAAAGCATCCTAATTTGAAAAGTATCCTATTTGAAAATTATCCTAACTGAATATTCTACTAGCAAACATATCTTTTACCATTCAACTTAAATGCATGCCCGTATTTAGTGACAATCACATGTAAACTTTAATTAAAAAGACTTTAACCAAATTTCCGAGCTTCAAATAAAAACTTTGATCTTCCAATCTAAATTCAAGTCAATAATTGATCACAATCATAATTTCAACTTGAAATGACAGCATGCTTAAAAAAGTTAAGAGTTTAATCTACTTCTTGCTTAAGTATATTTTTACTTAAAAGCTTTAAACAAAAATAATTACACTGCCAAAGATTGAATAAATATATATTATTTTGATCTTATTCTTTTTTGTTTAACTTCAACAAAATAAAAATGCGGGAACTCTTAGTGGGAGTGGAACCATACATCTATTAATTAAACAGTCATTTTTGGAATGCATTTCCTATGAATTATGAAATATGTAATTGTTATTATCAAACAAGCATGTTCTAATTATGCATTATAAATTATTTGATATTTGAACATTATAACAACAACAAAGCCTTAATCCCACTACGTGGGGCCGGCTACATGAATCCTTTTTCTCCATTGCGTCCTATTTAGTGTCATATTTTCATATAGTTCTAGTAAATTAAGATCATTTTTTTATACAATAAGCCCAAGTCTTCCTAGGTCTACTTCTACCTTTCTTAACATAAGCCAAATCTAAAACATCAACTCTCCTAATTGGATTATCAGATGGTCAACGCCTAATGTGACCAAGCCATCTAAGACGATTTTCTCTAATTTTGTCAGCCACAGGAGTTACACCAACCCTATCACGAATATATTCATTTCGCATTTTGTCTCTAAGTGTAAAGCCACTCATCCGCCTAATCATTCTCATCTCGGCAACACTTAACTTAGTATTATGCTTCTCTTTTATAGGCCAACATTAAGCACCATTCTCTATAGTTGGTGCAAGTGTACTATAAAATTATAAATTCTTAGTTTTTTATTTTTTAGGGAGTGGCCTGACACTAGCACCATTCTTATTAAAAGAAACAAAGCATAAAAGAGTAGCATAAAGGTCAATTCACAATGATGAAAAGAAAGATTATTGGTCATACACAATGTTGTTACATATAGAAACAACATAGGATCCTGAACAAAAATGAATCATAAGCTTCACCAAGGTCTCGATGAACAACTCTTCACCTTTCTTCATTGACAAAACTAGAAGAATGACTGACGAAGTAACAAACTAAAATCCCATGTGACACTAAGTAGTAGGATTTCAAACTAAAGTCCAACTCAGTGTAGTCATATATACTATCAATAAATAGACTTCTGATTTAAACAAATCATTGAAGATGTATGAAACTTAAAGAAACTCAATACAATAATATGAAGCTAGTTCTCCATCAATCCAACAAATTGTTACACTTAAATATTTTAAAAGATTTAAGTTCTTTGTACCTCAATAGATAAAACCAATGCTTCCCATATTGTAAGATCCAATAAGAGCTCTGAATACAAATATAGCCATGAGAAAGAAAAAGTGTTAAAGACTCCATAACCAATTTGCAATCTCAGAAAAAGGAGAAAACAATACCAAAGAACCAAGCACTATAAAAATCATAAATGCTTGAAGATCCAAAGAATCCTTGTCTTTTTAAGATTAAGAAAATCCTGAGAAGCAATATAAGTCTTTGCCATGCTGTTCAGTTCGATGTTTCGCAGGGAGACCTTGAAGACATATCTAGGTTTAGCTCTAAACTTTCTCTTGATATAGGGAATATTTTTTTGAATTAATATTAAAGTACAAAGGAATTGTCAGACTTGAATGAATAACCATGCCATTTTTCATATTTCCAGACTTTTGTCTCTCATAATATTTCTAAGGACATAAAAAATTATTTGCAATGATTTATCTTTGATTGGCTACCAACTTACCATGTTCTAATTGTCATTTTTAGTGTTAATACTTCGTAAACTCTTATTCAAATGAGCGAGAGAATTCCAAATTTTATTTTCCTGAACATGCCCCATTAGTCTATACTTACTGGAGTTGGGTAATGCATTAATGCCATTCATAAGATTCCTCCAGTGATAAAGAACTTTATGAAACTTCCTTATTACTTTTTAAACAAGTATATTAATTCAGTAATGGGTTTTAAATAGACTGAACCTGCTATTAATTTGAATTTTAATTAGGAGTGGTGTGGGAAGGAGCAAAATTCATGTAGTATCCCTTAATTGAATCATTTATGTTTTGACTAGAGCTTCATAGATGATAATTGAGACCTTGAAAGAATCAGAATAGTAGAAGTAAATTCAAGAACTATATTTGAATATGGAGAATGAGTTATAAGCTCAATTTGCAAGATAACATTGGTATATTCCATTTCAAGCTTGAACAAAGATTCAATATTTAAAAGAGGATCTTTATGTCAAGTAATCTATTGTAGATTTGAATTTTAAACGAATCTGTTTTGGAAGAAAATGTTTTTTTGTTAAATTACCATTAATTGCTTCTTTATTGTCCTGATATTTTAAGAAACTTTCCCAGCATTGAAAAAAGCCAAACCATGAATTCAAAATCAAACATGTACATAATAACTGGTGTTGAAAGCTCCAGTGTTCCCGTCGCAATTTTTATGCTCAATTAAAAAAAATCCATTAAATTTTATACGACTCCTATTGGCAAGAAAATCTAACGCCTCTCTTGATCTAAACTTAGTGAAGAAATAATTTGGTTTGATAAGAGTAATAGAATCTTTTTCTAATGCTAATTAAGATTTTCAACACTATCTGCTTTGTTAAGTTCAGGAACCGAGACATGAATATATCAAAAAGCATCTAGAATTTTTTGCCATCTTCATGGATTGGATATAAGACAATTATAATTTATTCTTCAACACAGTTACACATTTTTTTGAAAAAGGACAGGAAATGCAACGTTAGACTGATTTTTGACAACCAAAACGAAGGGGCCCATTCCAAGGATCTCTAGCAAGATAAATTTTTTTCTCAAACACTTAAAATAAGTGAGGTTTGTGAACTTAAGGCAAGACCCTTTGGAAAGTTCAGATTTTGGAATAGAAGGATAAGGTCCCCTCTTGATGTGTGGAGAAGTTCTTACAACACCAATAATGGAGCTTCCTCTTAATTAAAAAAAACTAGGAATATATGTGTGACACCCTTTAGTTTATTAAGAAACCGTGAAGTTTCAAAATGCTGGCACAGTGACATGACCTTTACAAGCAAAACTGAAGAGCAATCTGGCAAAATCAAAACTCTCTCTCACTTTTATAGTGGAACAAGCAGTTAATATTTTATAAGATGTACTTTTTGCCAGAGTCATTGCATAAGATCCAAGCAGAACTTGATGTAATGTTAAGTCCCATGCATGTGAAACACATTTTAATTACTTGAAAAGAGAGATTTTTGAAATATTGACACGCCTATAACTAATACTGAAGTTGCTATTAGATTTATAGCTACAATCCCTAGCCGTTATTACTTATCATTAGCTTTTATTCTCTCTTTTTTTTTTCCGATTTGTTTTATTCAGTTTTATTTCTTTTCTATATGTTTTATTTTGTTTTATTTGTCCTTTTTGATGTCTATTATAGTTGAGTTTAAATACCCCTCCTTGCTTTATTCCAAATCTTGATTCTATTCTTACATGATATCCGAGCCGTGGGTCTTACCTAGCAGTCTCCGAGCCCTCCTTTACCACTAGCTGGCCCTTCTAGGCGTTGCCTCTCATTCCATTTGGTTGGATCTCTTCTTCCAGGAGATAGATCTCTCCTGCCAGCCGAATGACCTGATAGAACTCCTGTCTAAGTCGATAGGGCTGCTCCCAGCCAACCAGAACTCCTCCAGGTGCTACACCCTGCCTGCCATAATTTTTATTCAGTCGGCCAGTATTTTGTCCAGGTCGTTGGTCCTGTCTTAATCTGCACCCAGCCGTCTGATCTCTTCCAGGCGTTGTATCCTGCCAACCCGAATTTATGTTCAGGCGGCTAGTTTTTCCATCCAAATGCTAGACTCTTCTTTCCTTCCTGTAGCCAGAGTTTTCCGATGTCACAACAACCCAACATCTCCTTTCGGTTAGTCGGAATCACGACAAACTCCATTATCGGGCCACCTTCAGAATGCGTTCTTGATTCCTCCTGAGGATCGACTCCAACTTTGCAAATCGGAGGACCGGAAACGAATAGGAACTTTTTGATCACAACCGATAAATTTAACGACAGTAAATTTTTCCAACGTATCTTTGCTCATCAAAGAATGCAGGAAATTTGGTCATCTCATAGGTATGATTCATTAGCCTCTAAAGACTTACTTTACGAGCTTGGGAAATGGAGAACTCCTTGATCATGTGCGTGGTTGATCAACTCCATGAAGACTTCGATTGATCATTCATGTATGTTCCCCCTTCAACTTGTGTCATCTGGACGACAGCCTATGATATCTACTCAGATGTAGGAAGTTCCAGCCAACTCTATGAGATGTCTAAGAAAATCCGAGAGACAAAACAGAAGTCAAAGATCGTGATCCAGTATTATAATGGTCTTGTTGTACTACGAATGAAATGTGACATGGACTACGATTACACTTGGGATTCTCCAACTCACTTCTCTTTCTTCTAGAAGATTATAGAAAAATGATGGTATGTTCCAATTTTCGGTTAGCCTTAACACAAACATTGACGAAGTTCAGAGCCGTATTTTTGGTCGGGACCCTTTTCCTTCCGCTCGCGCTGCTTTTACCGAGATTCGTCGGGAAGAGAGTTGGAGACTTGTTATGCTCAGTATTTCTACTCCTTCAGTCGAATCGTATGCTTTGATCTCGAATAGTGCCCTGCCCTTGTCCATGTCACCTCAGACCGGTCCTCTCACTTGTGATTATTGTCACAAACTCAACCACACTCGGGATAATTGTTGGAAAACTCACGATAAACTGACATACAAACGTTCGACCAAATCCTCTCCTACCAAAGGTCTCATGAAGACGTCCGAAAATCACAGTTCAAACGACTCTTACTCGTAACATCACGAATTCCTCTGAATCCCTAAAAAATCAGATGGCATAATTGATAAAGTTACTTAAAACAATCAATTCTCTTCGGGTTTGTCGACTTCCGACGTCTGGCAAGGTACTCTTCTTATGGCTTTCACGGTTCTTTCCTCTAGTCTGTGGATTATTGATTCAGGTGCGACGGATCACATGATTGGATGCTCGCAAGCTTTTTCAACTAACTATCCGTGATGTAGGGAAGATATTGTCACAATTGTCGATAACTTTTATAGTTTCATTGCTGATAAAGGGTCGGTTGTACTAACGACCAGTTTAACTCGGGAGTCTGTTTTACATGTTTTCCTGTTGTAATGTAATTTGTTATCTGTCAGCAAATTGACAAATGATATTGATTGCATGAATAATTTCTCTTCTGATAATTGCATTTTTTAGGATTGTCGTTTGTGGAGGATGATTAGAACTGCCAAGAGGATAGTTGGACTCGACTACTTCCTAGAGAAAAGCACGAAAAGTGAGGACATATCACCCAAGAGTTGTATTTTATTTCGAGTCATTGAATGTCCAATAATGTTGTTACATTGTCGTTTGAGTCATCCTAGTTTTCAATATTTAAAAAGTTTATATTCTTTGATATTTTCTAATAAAAATCTTTCTAATTTCAATTGTGAGACATGTCTGTTAGCCAAGCATCATCCGGTTCATTACCCACCCCACACTCACACACCTTCGACACATTTTTCTCTCATTCACAGTTACATATGGGGACCCTCTTGCACTTTCAACTACACCAATAAAAGGTGGTTCCCGACTTTGATGAATGATGTGGGTCTACATTTTAAAAGATAAATCAGAGGTTATCATCACCTTCCAAATTTTCTAAATCTTTATTTTAACTAATTTGAAACTCGAACTTAGGTTTTTCAGATCGACAATGGTCGTGAATTTTTCAACTTTATTATGAATGAATTCTTGGTGAGTAAGAGCATCTCATCATAGCTCGTGTACGGACACTCCTCAATAAAATGGGGGTAGCTAAGAGAAAAAACTGTCACCTTCTTGACGTTGTTCGTTCCAGTATGTTTCAATCCAATGTCGCAAAACGATTTTGAAACAATGCCAGTCTGACTGACATCTATCTCATAAATACAGTCTCCTGTAAAATTCATAAATTTCGAACCCCCTTAGCTGTTCTGATGTCATATTTCTCTGCCAATTGAGCCTTCTCCATATTAGATCACAATATTTTTTGGGTGCACTGCCTTTGTTTATAACACTACCCTCACTAAGAGTAAATTTTATCTCAAATCCATAAAATGTATATTCCTAGGATACTTTGCCACTTAAAAGGGGTATCGATGACTCACAAACAAAATATATGTAAGTGTTGATGTCACTTTTTTTTAAAGTGTATCCTATTTTCATAGCTCGGCCTTAAATGAGGGGGATCTTGAGTTCTTCAACACTGTCCCTTATTCTGCTTCTATGGATGTTCCCCCATTATTCCCTCCACTGAGGAGTCCCCTGTTTCGTTGAGTGCATCATCTCTTTCTCCCACTGTTCGTGTCTACACTCGGCGCTCCCGTTCGAATGCTTCTACTCCAGAGCCCACTACCATCTATAGGACCTTGACTCCACTCCTAGCGACATCCTCAGCACAACCCCTTCTCTAAATGAAGGTTTGAATTCTCCGAGTACGGTACACAATCAGACATGCTTCTCTATTCTATGATACAAAATGTCTCTTTCTGCAGTTTATCATTGACTTATAGAGCATTTGCTACTATCCTGACGGATCATCAGATCCCAACTACTATTGAGGTCGCTCTTACCGATCCAGCTTGGAAAACGACGTAACGGGGAAATAAATACCCTTCGGTGGAACCATACGTGGGACGTCGTTGATCTTCCTCGGGTAATAAAGTTGAGGTGCTGATGGATTTTCAACACCAATTTTAACTGTTAGATCCTTTGAACGCAACAAGACACGATTGGTCACCAAAGGGTACTCACAGACCTACAAATTTGACTATGAGGAGACATTTGCTCCAGTGGTTAAGTTAAACACAATTCGGGTCCTGTTATCCTATACGGTGAATCTAAATTGGCATTTTTTTTTAGCTAGATGCCAAGAATAAATTCGTGAATGAAGAACTTACAGAAGAGATGTACATGTCTCTCCCTTTTGGTTTTGGCTCTACTGCCTCCAAATAGCAAGCGTGCAGGCTGCGAAAGTTTCTCTATGGGCTAAAACAGTACCCAGGGCCTATTTCAGCGAGTTCACAACAGTGGTCGTGGGCTATGGTTTTACTCAGACTCAATTGGACCACATTATTTTTTTCTGACATTCCTCCAATGGCCAGGTACCTATCTTTATTGTCTATGTTGACAATATTGTTCTTACAGGTAACGACCTTCCATTATTGTAATCCTTGAAAGACATTCTTATTAATTCCTTTGAAATGAAAGACTTAGGATCTCTCTGGTACTTCTTAGATATGGAAGTGACTCGGTCATGTCAGGACATTTCTCTGTCTAAGCACAAATATGTGATTGATCACTTGACAGAGAACAACATTCTTTTGTGCAAACCACTAGCCGTCCCTATGAATTTAAATGAAAAATTATATGATATTCCCAATGTTGTGTCTGTCAACAAGACCCATTACCAAAGCCTTGTGGAGAAACTCGTCCCCCCAATATATGCCACACAGTTGGTATGACAAGTCACTTTATGCATCATCCCTATGAGCACCATCTTCAAGTTGTTTATCGGATTCTCCTCTATTTAAAATGTACACTGGCTTATGCTTGATTTTCTCTCATAACAACTCTCGGTCTGTTGTTATTTATACAGATGCTGATTTGGTCGAGTCGGTTCATTATTGACGTTCTACCTCAGGGTATTATTTATTTGTATGAGACAATCTTGTCACATGGAAAAACAAAAAATAGTCTGTGGTTGCCTGGAGTAGTGCTGAAACTGAATTCCGGTCAATGTCCTTGGGGATCTGTGAAGCTCTCTGGTTATGCTTCATGTTCCGTGAACTTTTTATGCTAACTTTTGTCTTGCTGCAGCTATTTTGTGATAATAAGACCGTCATTAACATTGATCACAATCTAGTCCAGCATGATCATACCAAACATGTGGAGATAGACAAACACTTCATTAAGGAAAAGATTGAGTCTGAGGAATTTTGTGTTCATTTTGTGTCTTCCAGACTAGCAGATATCCTTATCAAGAATTTTCTTCGTCCTTTGTTTGATGACTTCAAATACAAGTTAAACATGACTGACATTTATGCTTAAACTTGAGAAAGAATATTAAATTTATAACGACAATCCCTAGCCGTTATTATTTATCATTAGTTTTTACTCCCTCATTATGTATTTTCTATTTTTTTATTTCTATTTTATTTCTTTCTATTTATTTTATTCTGTTTTATTTTTTTTTGTTGTGTCTATTATAATTGAGTTTGAATACCCTTCCTTCTATTAATAATATTATGTTGCTTTATTTCAAATCCTGGTTCTATTCTAACAGTTGCGCTTTATAACTGGAGATATCTTGCAAAATCAAATCTCTTTGTCATAGTCTTATAATAATGAGACACTTAGACTTTTGTTAGATCAGCACTTTTTTTCGGCATGTTAGTTCTCCATTTATCATTAATCTTTACTTCTCTTTCTTTAGTAATATTAGAATACTTGAATATTATGTCAGGATCTGCTTGAATTGTATGTATTGATGACTTTGTCTATATCTGTGCTGCCAAATTAAGATCGTATGTTCCAGTTATGCACCTTCAACTCTCAGAAGTATTCACCTGCAAGATTTGTGATTTAAGATTAACACTTCATCCTTTTGGCAGAAGCTTGCAGGTCAAAATCTACCGAGGGGGCCTTCTCTTACCTCAATAAACTCCCAACTATCTGGGTTAACACAGAACGGGCAGTCAACATTGATGCCGGGCACCATTTCACAACAACAGTGGTTAAAACAAATGCAAGCAGGGGCGCCCTCGCCGGTGTCACCCTCGTATCACATTCAACCACAGCAGCAGAGCCCGATGGGCCTGAATCAACAGCAAATCTCTCAAATTGTACAGCATCAGGCTCAGCTTCGTACTCCGCATCAACATCCTGCACAATTCGTTCAACAACAGCAACAGCTGCAACAGCTGCATCAACTTCACCAACAGCAGCAGTCTCCAAGGATGCCAGGTTTGACGATTCCAAAATCTTTGGCAGGACTGCAGCCAGATCTATCTGGTTCTGGCGCCATCATGATGGGTGGAAGCTCCAGCCAAGGAACAGAAGCAGGTAGTCAAATTCTTGGGAAGAGAAAAATTCAAGATTTGGTTTCACAGGTACACCTTTGCATTGTATCTGAAGAGTAAGGGATCTTGGTGATTTACTTTTTCTCCGAACTTTTCTTATTTGTTATTCTTACGCAGCATAGTGGTAGGGGATGGAATTTTTTGGCGTGAAATTTGTGGATGAATTGAAACTAGAAATGTTGATATAAACATGCTGAAAAAGAATGATTGACAAATAAATGATCTGCAGGACTAACTTTTTACTATTTCCTTTCATTCTTTAAGTGTTATCTATCTCTTTCTTTTGCAATAATATTATTGGCATGCATCTTAGCTTTTTCTAGACGTCAAAATTTGATTAGAGAAAAAAATAAAAGTGGAACAAATGTGAAGAACAGAGAAGTCAATTTCTCTTGTTAGTATTTTTGTTTAGTAGGCCATCCTTATACCATTATTTGTATAATGAGAAAACCATAAGAATGGTAAGGCATTATTTTCAGTAAAATATGAAGAAAGAATGAAATAACAATACACTAATATACAATCCCAAACCATAGGAACGTAAGGAAACTATTTATACACCTGATATTTCACATATGCGGTTCTTCTACACTGGGGAATTCAGATCCCTTGGATTATTATCTTGGATTGCGCTATGGATTTTTTTTTTATTACAGACAATTGATGCACTCCCCATAGCGCTAGAGAATGTATATACATATTTCATCTACGGCTTGCAAGCAATTTTTTGAAATATTGAATTAGATATTTCTCTGGTCATGGCCTCTGCATGTTGATTATTTGAAGTAACATAGGGAGTGCTAATTAAACCAACATTTAATTTTCCTTTTATGAAGTTTATGTAATCTTAATATGCTTTGTGCTGTTATGTTGGAGATTATTGTGAACAATATTGATTTCAAATTTATTGTCACAAGAAAATCTCATGGATCCATAGTACTTGCTTTTGAGATCCCTAAAGATTATTTTAAATTTTAGTAATTACATAATAACTCTTAGCTTCAACACAGGGTCTGCCTGGGGCAACTTTTCTAGCTTTTCTCTTCAAAAACATGCCAAATTTTATTTGGCAACATCATGTTTTTTTTTTAAATTTATTTGGCGAGAAGCAACTTTTAACAATATGACTTTCTCAAGTGTTGTCGTTGTAAGAAATTTTTTGTTTTTTTTTTTGTTTTTGCAAAAAAAAAAAAAAAACACCCATAACAAATTCAATTTTTTTTTTTTTCTCACAACTCTTCTATAAGTATTCTTACCGACAATTGCAACCACCCTAAATTGTAAATGGACTCTTTTTCTTGCCCGTTGTACACTTCATACTACTCCATGTAACATATTTTCCTCCTAGAAAGGTACAATTATCAGGCGATAATCTTCTATTATTAGTTGATTTAGCACTACCATCTTTTGTATAGACTTCTTAATTGTTTTCTTAACAAAATTTCTATTTTGTGGTGCGGTCTTTAGATAATGAAGAATTTCATGAACAGCTTGTAAGCAATTCTTTTTAGGATGATGCATGGATTGACAAACTATGTCTATGCTATTAATATAGACAATATTCAACCTTGTATGGGATAAGTAAAGCAATCTCCCAACCAATCTTTAGTGCATTTCTTAGTCTACACCACTATCATGTTGATCTTCATTTAACCTATGATTCGGTTCAACAGGCAATCCAACAACCATGTTGCCCAGAGTTATGGTTTCTTTCAGTCATCCAACACATTTCGATTGAGAATTGCATTTTACTTCTTTGAAATATATTTACGTGATACCGGAGTTAGCTCAAACCTCAATAGAAATACAAATTTTATTGCTGAAATTTAATAGGATTAGAAATAAGGACTCTTGATACTAGAGAAAAAAATAAACACCACAAACATAAAAGATAACTAGGACGAGGGCAAAGGTTGCGAACCCTGGCTGGCAGCAAGTGAGATAGTGGTCTGGGCTTGTGGTTACTGTAGAGGGTGTGGAAGGGGTTACGGTACACCAATGGGGTAGATGGCAGTGGGGTTTATGGCAGGGAGGGAATGGGTTACGGCAGGAAGGGAGCCAGGCGTAGGTAGATGGGCTGGAATTTGCAACTGGGAGCAGAACTGTGCGGGAACCCTCTGGCAGCAGGCAGAATGGGGAGTTGGCGGCTGGGGGCAGGGAGATGGGAGGCAGACGACAGTAAACCTGAGGCTGGATGGGAGAAACTGTGACTGGGGGAGGGGGAAGGCTAGTGGTGGGAAGGGAAGTTGACGACTGGAATAATAGAACGCAGGAAGGGAAGTAGCGAGGTTGTGGAGGAAGAGAACTCGGGGAAAATCACTACCTTGAAGCAGGATATAGCTGGAGCACTTCTCATGCTCAAATAAAATCTAGAACGGAAAGTGGGGACGCCGACAGCTGTCCAAACTGAAATCTCTGCAAATACTAACCCTAGAAAAGAAAATAACGAATATATATACTAGATAGCTGGGAGGGAGGGCCCCTCCCTTTGGGCGGCAACCCTAGCCCCCAAAATAGGAGCCGTCCGGCCCTAGTAACCCATTGGTTGAACTGATCCAAGTGGCCCAGCCGGTTTAGCCTGCTGGGAGTCCCGCGTCACCACGCAATTGATTTTTAGATGGCTTTTGTCATGTCAAGGAAGAAGAAATAAATATGAGAACTATAATTTCAATCCTTTGAAGACCGCAAACATTAGATCTTGACTAAGAATAATGGTTGAAGGAAAAATTAACAATGAATGATGATGATCTAGATAAAATATAACAGAGTAGGAGTAGAAAAATATTGTTGTTCTTAGTAAACAAAGAGAAACCCAAAAGATTTCTTCTTCTGGAAGGAAGATATAAGAAAACAGGTACTATTGTTGGTATAGCAGGGCAACAAACAACAAAATTCCTATTAACATAAAAAAAATAATAGGATATTAAGTACCACAACAATCAAAAGGATTGGAAGTACAGCAACCCCTGCCCTGATACATTATGATGAAAGAAGGAATCGCAAATGAAACAAAGTGTTGATGAAGGAATAGATTTCTCTTGTTATTTCATCAATTATAGCTGGCCACTCTTCTACCTTTGTTTAGACAAGGAAGAAGCTATACGATAGACATTTTACTTAATCATATATTAAGAAAGACAGAAAGAATCATATACTATGTACATTATACAGTCAAGTAAAGAAACAAATTATATACCAGACTTCAAATTTCACACGTGTTAGAATTTGACACATATAACTTGGATTCGTCCACCATAGATCCTTGGATTACTGATAATTTCTAAGATTAATTTACGAACTTAGACAAAATGTATGCATCACTTCTTTTTAATCTTTTATATATATATATAAAGATAGAAAGAATCATATACTACTGTACGTTCTTGATTTTGTCAAGTTTAGGAAAGAAACTAATTATATATCAGATTTCAAAATTCACACTTTTGGGATGATACATAACCTGGATCGGTCCACCGTAGATCCTTCGATTGCTGATGTTTTTACAAAATTAATTAGGAACTCAAACAAATGGTCTTCACCTGGCTCTTATCATAGTCCTTCACATAACGTGCATAACTTTTTTTTAATATATATATATATATATATTTATTTATTTATATATATTTATATATATACATATATCCCGATATATATCCAGTGTTTGTAAATTAGAGGGGAACATTATGCTTTGCGACATCTTCTTTGATACAGAAAATGCAAACATTTTGGATTGATGAATTTATTAATATTGTAGGTTGATGCATCGGGTAAATTGGATTCTGAAGTTGAAGATCTTCTCTTGGATATAGCAGATGATTTTATTGATTCGGTATGCACTCATATTTTTTTCATTGGATTCAATATTCATTACTTAACATTTCTCTATTGATCATAACTCCCACGGACATAAAAATACCTATCTTCTTTAGCTACTTTAAAGGCTGACTTAGATACCTTTTTTTTGTTTTTTCGGTTCATCTGAAACTAAGTGGCCTTCTAAAATTCAATTTTTGCTCCAACAAGTTTTACAAATGTTCATTACAAAGTGCCTACTCTTCAGTTTACTGGTTGACCATATCTAGGATTTGAAATAAGTTGCGCAGTATGATTCTATTTCAATTATGCTCACCTGGCTCTTTTTTCAATACTTTAAAGATAGAAAAACAGAAAAAAGTCCTGTACGCTGAGCCTGTAGTGAAATGTTTTTTGTTTTCACTTACGGGCATCATCATATGAGTTAAAGTTCGGTGTCCAGTCTTCCATTGAAGGATCTAATATCTATCTTTAATCACTGACACTCTGATTTTCTTCTTTTGGCAGGTTACAATGTTTGCTTGTAGCCTTGCAAAGCATCGAAAATCCTCAACATTAGAGCCCAAGGATCTGTTACTTCATTTAGGTTGCATTCCAAACACCTAAGCTAAAACATTCAATCCATTTATGTTTAGTTCGGTTATAAAAAAAGTATTTTGCTGAATTAAGTATTCTAACCAAACTATTGAGGGTATTGGGGTTTTTTTACAAATAATTTATGATCAGTTTCTAGCCTTCTATTTGTATTTTTTGGTGGTTGCAGACTTAATTTTGCTGTTTTTTATTATATGCCTATAGTGGGAACAAAAATTGAACTTGCTTCTTTTGCATTCTAGTGGGTTTTGCAATAAGTTTGCATAAGCTACTTGATCTTTTTCTGTTGTTAATCTAATCGAAATGAATATCTTATGCAGAGAAAAACTGGCATTTAACGATTCCAGGGTTTACAAGAGAAGAGCAGAAGAGCCAAAAAAATCATGTAAGCACGTTTTTTCAAATTTTAGAATATTGCAGTTTTTATTCAATGTTCTTTTCTTCTGGATTGATTTACACATCTTGCTACTTGTTAAATAATAAAGGCCTTCATTTCAGCTTTGCATAGAAGGAGCATGTTGGTGTTATTATTTATGTTGAATAGAATGAACATTATTTTTATAAATCTTGTGATGTTTGAAGGCTTCAAACTTCGGTACCATGGAACATAAACATTTGTTAAATTTTTTAGTATTTTTTTTTATTTTTTTTTTATTTTTTTTTAAATTTGGAAGGCTTCAAACTTTGGTACCCTTGAATATCAAATCCTAGTTGAATCACTTAAAAGTGTATTAATTATAAAGCAGGAAATCGAATGATGAGCATTATAATTCTCATAAGCTATACTGATTATAAGTTTTGCTTTGTTAAAGTTTGGCTGCTTTTCCCTTTTGTTATTTCAATCATGATGATTTTATGTTTCCTAAAGTCTCATTGACGAGTTTCTTATTATTTTTCTCAGAAGGTTAATAAAGTTTAGCAAATATATTTTTAAAGTTTGCCCATGAATAAATTTTTTAAAGTTTATTATGTTTTCATGCTTGTCTTATGGTCTCTTTGAATAAATAAATCAAACATGTTGGACAAACTTGCTTTCCACTAGTTTCTTCCTCTACAAGATTAGTTTTTTTCCTTGGTTTAGTTCTCTATTTTCATCCAGACGGAACCTAATCTTGAATTTGTAGTAAAATCACTTTTTACTAATGTATTTCAAGTCGTGCTCCTTTAACTTTAATGATGAAAGTTGTTGATAAGCTTGATCTAAGTTTGAAGCCATTTTTGAAATTTAAATTAGAGGAGAATTTGTGTCTGTGTAAGGCTTGTAAACAAGCCGAAGATTTATTCATTTTTGCTCATTTGATTTTTTTTTTTGTTTGTGTTGGGCTCGTGTTCGAAATGACTTGAGAATAACATGTTCATGTTCGGCTCGTTATTTGAATTGGCTCGAGCTGAATTCGAGCCACCTCGTCATTAGCAACTAACAAGGAAATGTAAGTTTAATTAATTAAATTATTCTTATTAAACTTATAAAATAGTTAACTTTAATAAACATATCATTATAATGCAAATAATACCTTCATGCTTCACATGGATGTTAAGGCTGATGCTTTTTGAAATAGTATGCTAAGTTTTTGCTTTTAAAAAGCACTCATCACATTAAAATTTTTGATGCGGGACTAATAAGTAATAACCATAGTCGCATTTACATGCATACTGGCCAAATCCTATATATTTACATATTTAACGCCTAAAATTAGCAGGACCTGCCTACAGTGGGACTCACAGGAATTTAGGAGCATTTACATACATACCAACCAAATCCTATGTATTTATATTTAACACCTAAAATTATACTTTTAATTTTTATATATCCTAAATAAATTTTTAAAAATACTAAATTTTAATATTTTTAAAATACATTATAAAATTAATATAAATAATAATTATTATTTAATCATTAATTATTTCAAGTCAAAATGAGTTAAATAAGAACGAATAAACTTTTGTTAATGTCCGATGTGTGTGTGTATGTGAGCTTCTTTTCTCCTAGGACTTCTCCTAGGAAAGATATAAAAATATGATTTTTTGTTTTAATCTCAAATTTATTTTTGAAAATAGTGCTTTATATTATCTTTGAACTCATCAAAATCATACAATACAAGCAAGATATGCTCAAAACCTACATTTAGTTCTAATAAATTTTGATGTCACAACATTTTGAAATTGCAATTATCTTCTTCTGCAATTGGATATATGTTACGAGGGCGCTTAGCCTAAGGGCAAAATTGTCTTTTATACGTCTAAGGACATTTTAGTCGTTTATTATTATTATTGTTGTGTATAAATAGTCTTGTTATGTTTAGGGTTAGGTTTGATCATGAGATTGAATTGTGAGTCTTAGGATTAGATTTTGGGAGAGATTTTCTACCTCTCGGGTTGTAGGAATTGAGAGAGATCGCCTACCTCTCGAATTGTTGTTGCTTATCTTCTGTATTTGTGTGGGTCGTTGGGATTATTGAAATAAAATTTGTGTTTACCCTAATTTTCTTTGGAAAAACATTTCGATTTTGACGTCGAATCATAACAAATTGGTAGCTTAAGGGCAAATTTGTTTTTTGTATGCCTAAGGGCATTTTAGTCGTTTATTATTATTATTGTTGGATATAAATAGTTTTGTTATGTTTAGGATTATGTTTATACATGAGATTGATTTGTGAGTCTTGGGGTTAGGTTTTGGGAAAGATTTCCTACCTCTCGAATTGTAGGAATTGGGAGAGATCACCTACCTCTGGAATTGTTGGTGCTTATCTTTTGTATTTGTTTTGAGTTATTGAGATTATTGAAATAAAATTTGTGTTTGTCCTAATTTTCTATGGAAAGACATTTCAATTTTGCTTCGAATCGTAATAATATATCCTTTGTGAAATTTCTAATGCTTCCAATTGATGATCGTTGGAATTTTTTTTGAAGCAGTACGTTACCGCTAATTTTAATAATGTTAAAGAATGGATGGTTTGGATCTTGCATTTGGAGTTCATAATGCCAATATCTAATTGGATGAGATTGGTGATTCACCTTTTTAGAGGAGAAGGTCCATCCCATTATATACATATATGAAATAGGATGGACTTTCTGTTGTAAGATAAACTTCATCTAAAAAAGTTGGACATTTGATGCTCTAATTTTCATGGTATAAATTGATGATTGATGGTTTTGATCTGTAATTTGAATTTTAATTGGTAAAAAAAACAAGAGAAATAAACTTGTAATAAAGCATGATTCCATTTGATTGATGGATTGTCAAATATTTGATTATTTTAGTTTAATGATATGCTTCATCATCATTCTGATTTTGTTTTGAAACTGTGTAGGTCTCCGCTGATGTTCACAATAAGCGCCTGGAAATGGTAATCATTCTTTCTTAGAATCTCATTATAGATTATGGTTGAGTTTTATCCATTAGCACATTTCTCAGACTGATGGTCGCACTTCCACCCTTTAAAACTGAAAATTTACCCCAAGGATTCACTTGGTTGACAGAGGATCCAAAGAATTGATACAAGTAGTAGCCGTTAACTTTTGAATGTAGAGGGTTTAACTTTTGGATACTGCCCGTGTTTCTTGTGCCATTTTGCTCATATTCAAAATTTATGGGGGGCTAATTGGAGAATCATCATCATTCAACTATTTGGAATCAGATTTGTGTCCTCTACTATGAGCTGGGGGTCATAGCTCTAATGAAACTGTAATTACCGTTGGCACCGCTATTAGACCTATGAGGTTACAGTTTCGAAACAGATAAAATTACAATTAACTTTACCAACATTGTTACTTAAAAATGACTAATTCAAATAAATGAAACAGCCTCTTTATGAGATTGAGGGAGAAAGTTGCCAATATCGTTTCCTGACTCTTTGCAAGGGATCATTTTAGTCTCCAGTCTATTTAAGTGCCAATTCAATCCCCATACTTCTTTTTAATATGGTTGAAATATTCTCATGGATGATTATTTTTGCCTCAATTTAAAAAATCTGGAGACCAGTTTGACATTTTTAGACTCTGGGACTAAAATGGCCGAATCAAACAACCTGCAGACTATTTTGGCATTTTTAACTCTATATTGAGGTATGTTTGCTTAAATCAACCTTTTCACAAACTATTGGCAAAAAGCCTCTCATGTGCTACCCATATTTTGTTCTAAACTATGTAAATTGCAAATTTACAGCACATTAATCAAATGGAAATTGCACAGGTTAGATCATTGATGGAGTCGCAACAAATGCAAAAAGAGACGATGACTGGTAAAGGAACATCGAAACAAGCTGCAACGAATTCCGCTATTGATTGGACAATAAAAACTTCCCCTAGTTTGGACCAGCAAAGTCTTCCCACAGCTGGTTCTCAAGTTTTGCAGAAAATACAACGATATTAACTTTATTTTTTCCGTCTCTTTCTCTGTTCTGCAGTCGCAGTATGTGTTCCGCCGCAGCAGACTGGTAAGGAAACTTCTAATAAATTCGTTATTTAGTATATAATCCCTCTTATAAGAGGCCTCTCTTTTCTTCCTTTGATTTTCAATAGTTTTTAGAGTTTTCCATCTTTAGTCTTGAGTAAGAGTGTATACACTTCCATGCGCATTGTATGTTTTAGATCAAGCACAATTGCATTGCAATACTTCTGCCGCAATTTTATAACTGAAAGTGCATTTGCATTATCTCTATATCATAGCTTTTCAGATACAAAACGCAATTTTACATGGAACGAAATGGCTTATCAATATATCTTAGAGAAATTTGCATACCACACAACTCTTATGGATTTACATATCTAACACAGAAGTTTGATATTTACATTTATGACACCTGGTGCTATAAAACTATGCATGAAAAGATGCAATTCACTTTTAAGAAGTTAGTTAAGGTGGTATTTTTTGATGTGATGTTAAAAGACTCGAGTGTTTTCAATTTAAATATTAAAGTTTAGGTGTTAGATTTGCAATTACATAGTAATTGTATGGCATTTATGTTAAGTGTTCTTAAATCTTGCTGATCATGAAAAGTTCAAGATTATATGACTGATGAAGTATTGGCTGTTGATGATTATGCAATTATAAACCTTTTCTTTTACTTTTTCTCTGAATTTCTCTGAACTTTTGGCAGACTTGAGAAAACATTTTTGCATCTACTAATTCAACCTCAAGGTTTGGGCTCGGAGATGGCCAAAGCGGTTGAGAACAGTGCCTGCATTTGCAGCCAATTCATCTAACAGAAATATAGGATTATCTACCTTGTTGTATATATGGTTGGTTAGCCTGAGAATATATATGTAACATAGCTGGAGCCAATTTTAGTTGCATTTTTTGTTTATTTTTTTGGAGCACAGTGATATTTATCGCATACAGACCACCCGAAGCATTGATGTTTACAAATTAAGCACTTGATTTTTTTGAATCGATGTATTTACGCATGTCGAGATCAAACTATTGAGAATTTGATAAAAATGAAAAATAGGGGTTGGGGTTTTATCGTGAATTTTGATATTTTGTGTGAGAACTTGAAAAATGATGAGACGGTGCTGGATATGCAAATAGCATTGTTTCTGGTGGTGGTGGTGTGTATGTAAGTGAACCATTATTATTATTTTTTTCTTATTATGAAATAGTTCATGTGAGCTATATGATAAGCCTAAGTTTTTTAATTATTTATTTATTTAAATGAAAATTTTAAAATTAATATTTTTATTCCAAAATATAATTTATAAGCTATTTTATGAAATTCATCAATGCAGAAACCAGTTTGATAAAAAAAAATAAGGGCAAAAATATCCGTAGAGCGGGATTTTTACAATTGATCCATCAGGAGAAAAAAAATCAGCTTTTTTTTTTTTAATATTTCAAAATGAATAAATATGTAAATTTATATTTGCATACCTCTCTCTCTCACGAGAAATATTTGTGTAAAGTATGCAGAGTTGTGCGCATATTAGATTATTAGGAGGGTACAACTAGGTTACATTTAGATGATACCCCTTATAATTCTTTCTGTAATCTAAGTGTAATCTACCTGTATCCTTCGAATAATTTAATATGTATGTAATTCTGCGTATGTTTTACGCAAATATTTCTACCCTCGCACACCAATTCTTATATATTTATATATCTGATACCTAAGCTTTAATATTTATATGTATGGCAAAGCACAAAAAATTTTAATTTTACATCTAATATATAATTGTGACCTATTTTCTTCAAGATAAAATACAGATTTTCATGCTTAGGTTGATGAAGCCAAAGTATAAAAAATATAGATATGAAAGTTTAAGCGTTAAGAGATGTAAATACATGAGAATTGTGCAATGAGGGCCAATTTCCCTTCAAAAAATAGGAATATTTACATACATGCCACTCATATGTATGTAAATTTTCCTAGAAAACAATTCGAAAGATTTACAAACATACCACTTAATTCCTATGTATTTACACACCTAAACTACAATTTTAACATACATATCACCTTGCCTATGTATAAAATGTGTATTTCACTTGTTTCAAGTTAAAATGGTCGTATAATTGATGTGATAAATTGATGCCTACTCCTACAATAGCTAACTAAAATGTAATGTACATTGAATTATCATGGCCATATGGTGATATATAATAATTTAATTGGAATATTCAATCAATATTCATAGATATCAAATCCTGTATCAAAAATATAGAAGATTTACATGCATACCACACAACTATCATGTATTTATACATCTAATTTCAATTTTTGATGTTTATTTTTAAAACACTTTAATATCCTAAATATTTGAAAATATATGCATTTAAATATAATTTTGTTAATAAATTTAATATTGGTAATATTTTTTTAAGTAATTTAAAATTTTAAGTTTTACATAGCTAAACATCAAAGTTAAATAATAAAATATTTCCTGCAGACGATCAAACCGACAAAGAAAAAATTAGGATTGAAATATAATTTCTTATCTCAGAAGAAAAAAAAATATTTCCCTTCATAAAAGATGACAAATCTTGCCGCCAGAAGCCGCCGAATCACACTAGTAATCCGACACCTGTTAAACGACATTTAATGTGATATATATATATATATATATATATATAATATAAAATGACCATAGCCTATGAGCCCCGAATATCGCTTATGCGTCTCTAATTCGAGAACCACACCCAAAACTCGGAGGAGAATCGAACCCTGGACCAGAGGGGACTTACAATTGACAAGCAAATGTCGACCAACTGATCTGAGTACGACATAGACACACACACACACGCATATATATATATATATATATATTCATATAAATTTGATAAAAATATATTGACAAAAAATATGAAAATTTATTATTTGAAATATTTATATAATCATTTTATTATTAATATTATGATCATTTTATTAGATATTAAAGTATGGAACTCTTTAATATTTTTTAAACTCAATAAACTTAAAATTTTTGAATTATTTCAAACACATTTGCTATATATTTTTTTATGTATAACACTATTTAAAAATCATATATATAAATATATATAAGAAATATATATTAATTCCTTAACTAATATTGTAAGACATTGCAGTAAAGTGAGTTAAAAGTTAATATAAATTATAACTAAAAATACAATTTAATTTAAAATATGATTAAAACTAATTAAAAATTAATTTTTTTTTAAATTTTCAAATAAAAATAATTAAAAAATAAGTAAACAAATAAAAGAAACAAAAAATTTCCATTTAAAACTCATAAAAAGCTTGTTAAAATACCTTTATTAGAACTCAATATTTACTTAAAATTTAATATAAATTATAAAAAATATATAGATTAAAATTAAAAATAATTAAATTTTCTCATTTTCTTGAAAAATATAACTTTTTTATTTAATACAAACATATTTGGGGGGAAAGTACAATTAAAGTATAAAAAATGGAAAAATAAAAATGTTCAACTAGCTTGATATGATTCTATTTATTGTAAATGCATAGATGTTATATATTTCAATACATAGAAATTTGGTGGTATATATAGGGGTGTTGAATCAAGTTTTGAAGGTCAGATTGCAAGTCGACCCCAAATTGACCTGACCCAAACTTACTTAATCATAACCAGAGCTGAATATTAAATGAGTAAAAAAGTTCAACCTGTACTTTACCCGCCTTCAACTCATTGACCCTAACCCAACACATTACCAATTTAACATAAGACATAACAACCATTTGGGTCAAATTTAAGTCAATATTAGGTCAATTTTGTGTCAATTACGGGTTATGTCTTATGTCAAATTGATCAGAAAAGTTAAAACGGGTTAGAAATCTTAACTCGAGCTCGACTCAAAGGTTATTATTGTCATCCCAAGCTCTAAAATTCTGAGTCGGGTTCTAATTTAGTTTTGTATCAGGTCAAATTTCGACTCAAACACATATAAATGCTCCCATTGTCTAACATGAAGCCATGGGATATAGGTACTTACACTGTTTTGTCTCACATCATAAAATAACAAATTATTTATGTTCTTTAAATTTAAAAAATATTAGTTTGACCCACGGATTACGTGACCCTCTACCTCCACTAGATCACTCTCGCCTTCCACCGTACAATTCCGCATCCCCTGGATCGCCGACATGGCAGCCCATCGTCCATTCCTACGGATCGCCGATGTGGCCCTGTGTTGTTCCTCTATCAGTGTCCGATCCCTCATCCCTAAATCGCTAAAATGGCTGCCCCACCATCCATGTCCTCCGACCACATGTCGTGTAGCTTTCGGCTCCGACCTTTACTGCCTACGTACATCATCACATCTCACCACTACAAAATATGTGACCAACTACGACATATTTGGTCCACAACCTGTAAAGCTCCCGACTCTGGCCTCTGCGGCCTACATACATCATCACAGCTTAGCACTATGATCTACTTGACGAACTACGACATATGTGGCCCACAGTTCATGGCACTCTCGACTCCGACCTCTGCGGCCTACAAACTTCATTACAACTCAACACTACGGCCTACCTGGATTATAACTCTCGCAACTCCTGTCTTCGGCCTCTGCGGTCTACTAACATAGTCATAGCTAACCACTTTGGCCTAAGTGATTAATTACAACTTACATGGCTCACAGCTCATGCAGCTTCCACGACTGGCTCTTATGGCTTACAAGTGTCATCATAGCTCACTACTACAACCTATATTGCCAACTGCATCATAGGTGACTTACAACTCATGCAACTCCTAACTTCGGCTTTTATAACTTACGAACGTCATAATAGCTCACCACTACGGTCTATGTGGCTCACAGCTCGTGCAGCTCTCTTCTCTAGCCTTTGTAGTTTACGAACATCATCATAGCTCATCACTACAACCTACGTGACCCATTATGACTTATGTGGCTCATAGCTCGTAAGCTTCCGACTCTATCTTTTCGACCTACGAAGAACATCATAACTCTCCATTACAACCTACGCGACCAACTATAACCTATGTTACTCACAAGTTTTGCAGCTCCCGACTCAGGCCCTTCGACCTACGGACGTCATCACATCTCACCAATAGGACCTCCATGATAAACTATAGCCTACGTGACTCATAGCTTGTGCAGCTCATAATTATGACATTTACAACCTACAAATGTTACCAAAACTCATCATTGCAATCTATGTGATCAATTACAACCTACGTACCTCACAGCTCTAGCAACTTCCTACAATGGCATCCACAACCAATCGTATCAATTAAAACAATCTTCTGCAGCCCACACGACCAACTACTACCATGATTTCCGCTACAACCTATACGACAAGATGGCGGCTTCTGCTACAATATATACAACAAGATGACACTATAGCTACCTATAACATTCACAACAGACTTCTCTCACCATAACAATCGACCACAACAGTCTGCTATCACCGAGAAATATATTTATTATAGCCAAATATCAACTATTATCGATGATCTATAATTGTAAATTTAAAATAATTACTTTTGTAACTCCATCTTCCGTAATTCAGGAGAAAAGTGAATCTTCGTATTCACCATTCAAAGTTGACTTGAGCCGATGGCTCAAATTGAACGGTTTGCGATAACTTTTACATTTGTTTGCAATTTTTTTATTATTGCCATATATATTTGATTTTCTTTTTTAATTTATATAAATAGAAAAAAAATATAACCAAATAACTAAAGCTATTAAATACATTAGCTGTAAAAAAATAAATATTAAGAACTGTTTTACAACTTCCCAGTCAATGTTCTGCTGCTTCTGTTTTGCAGAAGTTGCATCAATAACCGTGTAGGCTTCGTCAATCTCCTATAAGTACTCGAGGAAGAACCATTACGATCAGTCTTCAGTTATCTCTTCATGGCTAGGTTTTTCGAGCTCAACACAAGGGCGAAGATCCCTGCCGTCGGGCTTGGCACTTACCAGGCCGAACACGGAGTAATAGAGGCCACCATCGTTGCAGCCGTCAAGGTATCATCGGCTGATTTTCCCCTTACGCTCGAGTTTCAGGATTGTTTTAAGTTTTATAGCTGACGGATGGCATAGTTTCTCTTTGATAGCTCTTTCCGTCTTTGTATCTGTCGATTACTATTTTGTGTTAGCAGGGGACATGATTAAACCCTACATTATTAAACAGGTTTGAAAAACGCATTAATGAATCTTAGGTCGTTGTTGCATTATTGTTGAACAGGAAAAACCTCTTTGATTGGGTGATTTGTTCAATAATTAGTGAGGAATGTAGTTTTTATTGAGCGGAATGGTCCATATCCCGAATAGTAATTGAAAAATGATGTTTGACTAGTGAGAGCTTGTATGCGTGTTGAGCAATTTAATCCATGATTCCTGAGATTGATAATCTTAACCCTAATTTAATCTATTTACAAACAGATTTATTCTCTCTGTAATAGGACAAAATTTACCTCATTTTGTTGGGTTAGATGAATCCTTGAGAATATTTTTGACATAATTGAATTGCTTCAATCCCAGTCAAAACAGAGGATGAAGCAGAATGGCCGTATGCTGAAATTGTGTCTCATACTCAGATTAATTTTATTGGTTTTTTTCTTTCCTCAACTTGATTTAAGATCTCCATTTGGAGTGCTGTAACCTGGTTTTGAATCTTACTTTCGATGTTTGGAACCCTAATTGTTCTGCTGCAGGCTGGGTATAGGCATATTGACTGTGCTCCATTGTACAATAATGAAAAAGAGGTACCCCAAACTTAATTTCCTTAGTCCATGATGAATGAAGTTTATATATTCAATGCACATGCGATTCTCATTAATGCAGATTGGATCAGCTTTAAAGAAACTATTTCAAAATGCTATCGTGAAGCGAGAGGACTTGTTTATCACCTCTAAACTATGGTTTGGTTAAAGTTTTGCAATAAAAAAAAAATGTTTTCTGTTCTAAAAGCATTTGTGTTAATGCTTTGGCGAAACACTATGCAGGTGCAGTAATCTTGCACCAGAAGATGTGCCTGAGGCAATCAATTTAACCTTGGAAGACTTGCAGCTTGATTATCTGGATCTGTACCTTGTAAGTTGGCCTGCTGCATCAACTAATAATAGAGACTATAGCTTTAAGAATTGCGTTAGAAGTCTACAATAATGGCATCATGAAGGCCATTCCAACAAACATAATCCTAGTAATTTTTTATGACCGCAGCTGCTTCTGTTTGATTTTTACATGTCATGCTTAATCTAATTCCCTGCTCAACTTTCTCATTTGAAGATTCATTGGCCTTATCGTCTTAAGAAGGGTGGCAGTCCAACTCCCGAGAACTTTCTTCCACCTGATCTGCCTGCTACTTGGGCAGCCATGGAACACCTGCATGCTTCAGGCAAAGCTCGTGCCATTGGTGTCAGCAATTTCTCTTCGAAGAAATTGGAGGATTTGCTTGCAGTTGCGAAAGTCCCCCCTGCTGTCAATCAGGTAGAGTGCCACCCTGGGTGGCAACAGGCCAAGCTCCATGCTTTCTGTCAATCAAATGGCATCCACATCTCTGTAAGTTTTTCATTCCGTTTATTACCTTTGATCCTTGGCCTGATTTTTGAGAAAGCTACAGGTTGAGATAAGCGTTTTTAAATTCATTTTGCAGGGTTATACTCCGCTAGCTCGATCGAAGGAACTCCTTGGACACCCTGTTGTGAGCATGGTGGCCGAGAAATTGGGCAGAACTCCTGCTCAGGTTGTTCTACGATGGGGGCTCCAATCAGGCCACAGTGTGCTTCCCAAGAGCGTCAATGAAAAAAGGCTTATTGATAACATTGGGATTTTTAATTGGTCTATCCCTGATGATTTGTTTGCCAAATTTTCTGAAATAGAGCAGGCAAGTTGCTCTTTTTTATGCTAAATTTCGTTTTATTTATATTGCCTGTCTCTCTCAATTTTGCCAACTATTTGTCTCATTATTTGTACATCCTTGCAAGGTGAATTTCACAATAACATAGTATTTGGGACTTTTTGCCTGAAATTTGTTTAACAAGATCCTTTTATGTATATATAACTTTAAGACAAATTGTCTCTCTCAAGACGGAAAAATATTACATCAGGACTCCTAACGTAGAGCTACGTTCGGAGTCCACTGCTATGCGGACACGTGACTTCAAGGAAACACGCACGTTTTTCTGTGATCCGGCCCGGTAACACAGGAGAATATTCCTCCTGTATTATTCCACATTATTCAGGCATTATTGTGACAGTATTGATGTGTTACTATAACACAGGGAATATTCCCAGAATACAATAACACATGAATACCATCACAAAAACACGTGAATAACGCAAAATAACAACCATAACACAATAAAACATGAATACCACCATAATAATAACTGAATAATGTGGAATAACATGGAGGGAATATTTTTCTACGCTAAAATGATTTTTTTTTTTCTGTCACCTCCACGTGGTATCATTTCATTGGACTCCGAACGTAGCTCTACGTTAGTAGTCTTGAAGTAATATTTTTCCCTCAAGTACTATGTTTAACAAGATCATTTTTAATATAATTTTAAGACAAATAGCTTAACCCACTTAACACTAAAAAAAAAAGTTCTTGCTAAACAATTTTCATATCACATAAAAAAAAAATCATTATTTTAACATTTAAAAAGTGAAATGTATCTTTTCATGCAAATGTAAGGTCACATATATGTAAAATTTGAAATGTAGGTGCTAGATATATAAATGCATAGAAATTGAGTGGTATGCATGTAAATCTTCTGTTTTTTTTTTTTTTAAAATAAAAGTCGAATTATGTTTTTTGGTCATTTGCAGGAAAGGTTGATTCCGGGAGAATTTGCTGTTCATCCCCAGAGTGTTTACAAGACTTTCGACGACCTCTGGGATGGCGACAATTGAGCACCCCCGGCCCATGTGATAAATGGGCTACATTGATTTCAGATTTTATATTAACAATTTCAGTGTGGCCTGTTATAATAACTTTAACAATGCTACGAACAGACTTGTTTGTTGTTGAGTATAATAAGCCAAATTTCAGTTGATTTTTTGGATTTATCCATTGTTGAGATTAGGGGTGTAAATCAACCGAGCTTCAACTTGAGCTCGGCTTGATTAAATTCACGTTCGAGCTCAAGCATGTGTTTAATTCCAGGACTTCGAGTTTTGCTCATAAGCCGTCTTGTTTATTACGAAAGAAAGAAAGTAATATTAATTTAAACAAACGAGTAGGAGATAAATAATAAGAAATTATTTGATATAAAATTTAAGATATATATTTTAAAAATTTTTTGACAGTTTAAAACTAAATTTGAAATTTCAATATATTTTTTATTATTATTCTTTTTTTTTTTAAACAAGCAAGCTCACGAGCCAAGTTAGGGTTAATTTGATCTTGGCTTGTTATTAAGCTTGGCTCAAGCTGACTAACAATTAAGCTAGAGATGAATTCAACATCGTATAAATCTTAAATCAACATGAATATTAATGCCAACATAATCTTAAATATATATCATAAATGTTTCTTGATAATATATCAATAAGTATAAAATATATTGTTTTAGTCTTTTTTTTATGGATTAAGCAGCAACTAAGGATTTGGCAGGGTGGAAATCATTTTTGAAGAGAGGTGCAACAAATATTAGAACTGCAATTAAATGTAGACTCACATCATTCTGAAAGTTTGATAATAGATTTGGAATAAGTTCATGAAAGCTCTTTATGCAAATATTCTTAATTTTTTAGGGTTTTTACGTAGTCAAAGCTTTCATATTTATCTTTCTCACGCCTAAACTTTCATAGTTACAAACATCATATAAAAAATATCACTCATTATAAACTTTTAATAGTCTAGCCCATCTTTTCATCCATAGGCAAAGTACTTTGTGTGTAAAAATGAAAGTTTAGGTGTGAGATAGGTATACCTCCATAAGAATTGGGCGCATAATGATTCAATCTTTTGATAACCCATTTTTTGACATTATGCTCATCTTCGTGGTCATGACTTTTGGTGGTTTTTCTTTTCTCCTCTTCCTGTTTTATTGATCTGAAGGAAGTGCCGCGCCTGTCTAGAGTTCGGGTTAAGGCTTCCCTCCTTTTTTTCGTCAAAATAAAATCAGAAGTAAGACTAAACCAAACCTCGAATAAGAAGCCTGGGCGTTGAACGAGGTGTTTTCCGTTTTTTGAAAAAGAAAATGGGCTGGATCGACAACGGTACTACAGGTATGGTGAAAGAGCCATCAATGACAACATCTCTGAGATAAGTTTTAAGAAGATGGGCAAATCTTCTGAAATAAATCCAAAGAGAAATTGGGTAAGATTTTTTTCAAGCATAAGACTTTTTTCAATCATATATTTATAAAGTGAAATTATTTTCATCCAACATCATATAAAATCAAATATCATATGCTTTTCTTTTTCCAAGAAATTTACATTCACGACATAATTCCTAAGCATTTATATATTAATACCTAAAATTTTATATTCATGTTTGTAATACTTTATTGTTATAAATTTATGCATAAAAATTTATATTTTATCAGAGATTTCGAATATTTAAATGTTTTACATATAAATATAAAAATTTAGATGTCAGATTTGTAATTACGAGAATTATGTGGTATGTCTGTAAATGCCTCATGACCTATGAAGCTGCATTGTCCAAGCGTCGTTCTTTGTCCGTCCAGGGAGACGGCGATGTTCAGGTCAGCCGTTCTCCGCCGCCTCGCTCTGCCGACGGCTCCACACTTCGCCGGCGCCCTAGAAAAAAGCTTTCAGATCCACCGCTCCTCCTTTCTTAAGCACTCCTCGGGTAGCTTCTTATCCCGACAAACCCTAACATGTAAAGCCCCACTCTTCATCTTCTCCACGGCTAATTTTTCTTTCAGCCCAAGCAGACCTTATTCTGATGTTCATCTCCTTACAATTACAGACAACGAGATCAAATGCGGCGTGCATGACCAGGTTTTGCTCAAATTATCTTCGTTTTTTTTTAAATTTTCGTTAAAGATTTGATTTTGAAATTGAAAACAGCTTCCTTTACGATATTTCCCTATTTTTTTTGAAAATTTTACTAAATTGAGTTCGAATGACTGTGAAAGATGGATTTTTTTAAAAGGAAATGGCTGATGTTATTGAACAAGAAGGGGACGGTTTGGGGTTCTGCAGCATCGCTCGTAAAGATGATACTGTTAATGATAAAGCAACTGTTAGGGAGAACAAGAGGAAGATTATTTTCTATGAAGAGTCCAGTTTCAGGTAGGTTTTTGCCAGTTTTTCTAGCATTATTGTAGTTAATATAATTTAATTTTTGAAGTCATATATAGTATGACATTTTTGCTTTTTCATGCTACCACCATGACACCTTCAGTCAATTTCTATGTATTAATTTTTAAAATCGAGTTATATACTTCTTCATTAGGCTATCCAATGGCGATTAAATTTCTTTTAAAGCATGGATTTTGTTTCACTTTGCAAAATTTCCACATAGTTCCATCTACAATTTTTAATTGAATATCACCATAAGGGCTCATTATTGACAAAAATAGGGGTATATCTAGGATTTCATGGGACTATTATCACTTATGAATAATGTCACATAAACCTCTTTTGTGGTGGCATTCATTGATTCTCTTCTCTGCTTTGCATTTTTTTCACCTTTCTTATATGAAAAAATCTATTTTTATGTGCTTAATCTTCCTATCATGCCAACAATTGACTTATCCTTTAAAGCCTTCCCATTGAATTTAAGATCTAGATCTTCCTCTTCCTCTGTTGTGTCCTTTGTAGTTTTCTTTCTGCATTCAAAATACAAAGCTGAATGTAATTGATTTTACTTTGCATCCTAAATATTTATTTGACAATCAAAGAATCTCTTTGGAATTGCATTTTCACCATAAACTCAGCACTAATGTGATCCCCCATCCTAATTTCCATTGTGTGCTTTTATTTACTGAACATAAATAATGCTTAGATCCATTATTGTTCAGGCAAGAAGAACATGTAGAACATCGTCGGAAGCTAAAGCACAAGGAGGAAGGAAAGGACGAGCGTTTCCATCTTCTGAAGAGTCGAGGCCAACACCTTCTTACCAACCCACGAGTTCTCGACTCCATCGTTCGGAAAGCTAAAGTTTTGCCTGATGACATTGTTCTAGAGATCGGTCCCGGCACAGGAAATTTGACCGTTAGGCTGCTCGAGTGTGCCAGGAAGGTTGTTGCTGTAGAGATTGATGACCGAATGGTCGATGCTCTTCTCAGCCGAGTTTCCAGACTCGGTCTGGCAGACAAACTCGCTGTATGTCTCTCGCATTTGTTCGTCTTTACCAAATCAATATTAACCACATTCGATGTTATAACAAGTGCATTCTAATTTCGTTTACATATCTTTCACCTAAACTTTCATCTTTACATAGTACTCAAATCTTTAATGGGAAATTTACATACATAACCATACAATTCTTATGTATTGAGATATCTAACCCCCAAAGTTTGATATTTATACTTATAACAAAAATGTCAGGTTATCACAGGAAATGTGCTGAGGATGGAGCTCCCTCATTTCGATGTCTGCGTGTCGAATATTCCATACGGAATATCGTCCCCATTGATAGCAAAAATCTTCCTCAGTTCATATAAGTCTAGTTTTCGAAGTGCGACTCTGTTGCTTCAGAAGGAATTTGCTCGTCGTCTTCTCGCCAAGCCGGGAGAGTCTGATTTCAACAGGCTTGCTGTGAATGTAGGCTTGGTGGCATCAGTTGAATTTCTTATGAATGTCAGCAAGAAAGATTTTGTTCCTTCTCCCAAGGTTGACTCCTCTCTTGTTCAAATCCAGCCCAAACTTAATATACCAGATATAAATCTAGATGAATGGCTGGGATTCACTAGAACTTGTTTTAGTCAGAGAAACAAAACTCTCTCTGCAATTTTTAAGCAGAAGAAGAAAATCATGGAATTATATGAGAAGTCCCAAGTAAATGGCATAAAATGTAAAAATCTCGAATGTGAAGGTGGGGTTAGCAATTATGATATTGATGGGAATGATGAATCTGATGATGGTGAGATAGGAGCAAGCAGTTTAGAGTTGAAGGGTGAAGATTCAACCAAATTTCTTTGGTTTAAAGAGAAGATTATGAGGATATTGAAAGATGGAGGTTTTGGTGATAAGAGGAGTTCCAAGCTATCCAATGAAGAGTTCTTGTGTTTGCTTCGGATTTTCAACAAAGAGGGTGTGTTCTTTCGTTAGTGAAAAATTATTAGCGTGGTAAGTGGGCCTCACTCATCTAAAAAACTTGGAACCATTATATTATAATGGGTCTCACTTGCCACGTGACAAGTGGGCCTCACCCTTTTAAAAAATCTGCAAATTATAGTGGAGCCCATTTGCTACATGACCAGTGCCCAAAGGACTCCATACGCAAGTTTACGTTTAGTGTTCTGATGGAATGAGCGTTCTTCATTAGGAGCTATTATGACTTGTTTTCTCGCCGATTTACTCTTTGCTTTAGTTTTTTTTTTTAAGCGATACATCTTTTCATGTATGGGTAAGATTTAGGTTTGGGACATGTAAATACATACGAGTTGAGTGGTATTATGTAAATCTTCATTTTATTTTTTTATTTTTTTATTTTTTATTTTTATTACACAACTCTTGTTAAGATTGTTTGGAGGTTGAGTTAGGATGGCTTCTCTATTATGTAAAAATTAAACTTTAGTTGTTATATATGTAAATATATAGGAATTAAGTGGTATTTATGTTAATCTTCCCACATCTTTATGTGAAATGAGAAAGTTTCGGCCATTCTATTTCAAGTGCGAAGCATTCCACCCAGACAAAAGATGCTCACCGACCATTCATAAGAGTAACTGAACTAAAAATGCTCTACTTGTTTGTCCCATTTTCCACCCAGGCCTTGGCATACAACCCAATACATACACTAACAGTTATAATTTATAAAACAAAATCCATCAAATTTCATCCAAATCATATGGTAGTATACAAATTGAACTCCTTAATAACTTAAATGTCAGAAATGCCTTGCATACTAAAAGCTTTTTTAGGAAGATTTACATACAGACCATTTAATTCTTTGTATTTACATATCTAACACTTAAATTTTCATTTTCGCATGCATGCTCAATTCGTGGTTGCACTCAATCGAATTATCATAAATCTCATAATAATTTACCAAAAAAAAAAAAAATCATTTAAATATCATTTTAATCACTTAAAATCTTTATTAGTCGATAAAGAAGAGTGACACTAATAAATTAAAATGTTATATTTAAAATTTGGATGATTAAAATGTTATATTCAATATTTTAAATGACCTGTAAAAAGGACAGCCATCATTGACCTACTAAAATTTGAACATGAAATGTCAATGTCAAGCAAGAAACAAATAAACAATTAATAAATCAATCAGTATCATGATGATCTTTTATTCTCTTGTAAAGCAGAAACTTAAATTTAAGAGACGCAATTCCTCTAGTTTTTTTGCCTGATCCAATAATTGTCCAAGATAAATGTACTAGCATGCAATACTGCAAAATAAAGAGCTTAGCAACGGTAAGAAAGTATTTCCAGGAGCATGAGCCACTCCACAGTGAAGAACAAGGAATGAAGATCCGCACCAATGTCCGCTACGATCCAACAGACGCAATCATTGCACCAGATGAATCCCAAAAAGGCAAGCAAGCAGGAGGGCAATGGCCAGTATCTGCATTAAAAAGGTGCAGAGGGTCAAGATTTGCTTCTAGGATAGATACAATGCTATTCTTATGTATTTACATATCTAGTATCTAAAACTTTTATGTTTAGGTTTATAATGCTCTGATGTCGTAAACTTATGCATGAAAGATATATATTTCTATTTTAAAAGTGAGTGAATGTGGTATTTTTTATGTTATATTAAAGATTTCAGTAATGTGCATGTAAGAATATGAGAGATTAGGAGTTAAAATCACAATTATCAAAGCGCAAAGCATAATGTGACGCACAAAATTTTATTTTTTTACTTCAAAGCTTAGAGCACTGAGTGATACAGTGCTTTTATTAACTAGAACACTAACAGGTTATATAAAAAAATTAATACATAAATAACTTAATAAATAATTATAAAATATAAAGTATGACTTGAAAATTGATAACATAGAAAAAAAATATGATGCAATATCTAACTTGAAGAAAGATATTGAGAGTGAACCTGCAAATTTAAATTTTTAATAATTTTTAGTAGTTTATTACAATAATAAAAACTTAAAAATTTCAAAAGAAATCTTATAACTCAAAATAAAATCTAAAATTTAAAATATATATAAATTAATAAAGTATTAAGTTTCATACAACAAGTTAAATTAACTCAGTAGTCTTTTATTCCCTCTCGTTAAATTGTTAACCGAATCGAATGCTTTACTTCAGCGCTTCAAAGCACGCTTCAGCGAAGCAAAACATGTGTCACACGCTTCGCCTTGCATGTGAAGAGCGCTCTTAAAAACACTGATGTTAATACATAAGAATTGTGCAATATGTATGTAAATGCCCCTTAGAAATATCAGTTATAGAGTACTACTGGTGATGATGACTCACCATTGCAGAACTGTATACCTGCCTCCTTTCATCCACGTAAAATCCCCTGGAAGATTATAAGAATGGTAGATGATCTTAACAAAAAATTGGATGAATAATATAACAATAACAACAACAATAATAATCTTATGCTTACTTTACCTCTTATTTAATAAACCTGAGGATACACACGCTTTCTTTATTGCATCCACACGCTTGAGGGTGAGAACAGCATTAGGATCATTCATATTAACCTGTGTTACCAAATAAATGCTTATCATTTCTTTATATTCTGATTCAAATCCCCACATGAGATCACTACAACAGAAGATTCAATGCCAATAAGAAATTAGAATAACTTGCAAAAAAGAAAGTATGATAGAAAGCTATAAAAAAAGCCGTGTCATGGACCCATGATTCGATATCAATAAGATAGATATTAAAAAATTTACAGAAAAATGTAATATGCAATTTAATTAAGTTCAGGAATTGTGCAACTCAATTGTTTTTGAATTTCATTTGAAATAGACAACCAAAAACCCTTTCAGCGCAGAGGTTCCACTCAAATTTGGAGCTGAAATGACCAGAGAAATTTTTTTTAAAAAAAAATGGTTTGAAGAAATGATGACATGGGGCCGTCTTCGCAGAGCTTTTTGGTTGCATAATTTAAATTTCAGCCCTTTCCAAATATTTTCTATTAGGGCATTTACATGCATGGCACACGATTCCTATGTATTTACATGTCTAACATCAAAACTTTGCCTTTTACATTTATGCCACCCAAATCTTTTATATCATGTCAAATCTACCACTATTTTAACTTTTAGAAATTGAAATACAACTTTTTATGCATAGGTAAGGTGTCATATATGTAAAAATTGAGTATAGGTGTTAGGTATGTGTAAATACATAAGAATTGAGATGTATGCATGTAAATCTTCCTTTCTATTAAAAAAGTGAGTCCACAGCAAATATGCATGACACATTCACGACACAATAACAAGATGTTGGTTTTTTAGAAGCCAAATTTAGGGAGTTACATCAAGGGTGTGGCTTGAGCTTGCAAATTTAATCATATCTACTAGTTTCAAAAGCAGTGTGCAAAGCAGTAAATCAACTCAAATCCCCACAAGAGAACAGGTCATTTCAAAGACTTGTAGAATTAGTCATAAAATGTTAAATAATAAACTATCTCAGCATCGGCAGAATAGGTTTATGTTACTGATTGATCATGAGGGGCATTCATGGCTTGACATTTGAAGCACTGAAAAAACATTACTGGCATAAATCTTATCTAATAATTGCACCAATCTTTCCTCGCGCATTACTTAGGGTTCCACAACATAGCATACGTTAGACATTTAAAAAAAAAAAAATCCATCAATAGTGAATCATCAGATGATACAAGAAGCACTTTACCTTGGACTCAAGTTGAGTACAGAAGTCATAGAAAGCACCATAAACATCGGCCATCGATTTTATCTGGTCACTTATTCTGACAGCAAGTCCTAAAAAGAGGATAATTAGGACTAGAGTTTGATCTCCAATAAAGCAAACAAATCTAATGAAACCAACAAACAGAATTACCGGCTTGATAGCATATATTTTGGAGGCAAAAAGAACATCAATAATAAATGAACCATGACAAGATAATTAAAATTCAATGGGTTTGCTATTAACTATAGTAGATAAGAACAATTTATCTTCAAGCAAAGTCACTCACACTGTTGATAAGCATATAAAATCCTCCCCTGAAACCAACTCTTCTGAAGCAAAAAAAAAAAAAAAGTTTTTTGAAGCCACGTGGAATAATTTCTTTACCAAAAAATAAATGATTTGACAACTACTTTACATCTGCGGTAGACCAAACACTCAACATATATCCGGCTACATATGCTCTCGTTAAAAATTCACTCTGTTTATTACCAGTCATTATTAACTGAAATTAAGAATTTTTTAAGGAATCTGATTCTCAAAATCAATTTGAAATACATTGCACTGGAACTGTTCAGAAAAGATCATGCGATATGAAAATCTAGTGCAGATCAGTTATAAATCATACCATGCACTGTAACAGCAAAAAAGATAACATAGATTAGACGACAATCTAAACACTACAGCAAATGTTGAAATTAGTGTCCGATATTTTGTGTCAGATTTTTTTGGCGCAAATATTAGTGTTGGTTTTGACTCAAAATTTGTGGTGAAAAATCGACGCTTAGACTCAAAATATCAAATTGAAAAACTAGATTGCGATGGAATTTGCGTCGAAAAAGTCGACATAAACACGTACTTAACTGTGTTGAATTATGTTCGACACAATTCGATGTAAATTCCGTCGCAAACTCTTCGGTTCGAAAATTGCGTCAAAATATTCTGACACAAATCCGACTATAATGCCCTAATCTGCATTGCTCGCTCCTCGAGCCTCATTTCTTGTCCCCCAATCTCGAAACCCTCAATTACGACTTCCCCCTCTCCAGGTTTGGCCCATCTCCGACGAAACCCTCGCGTACGACTTCCCCCTCTCCCGGTTTCGCCCATCTCCGACGAAGCCCTCAATTATATCTCTCCCCCCTCCCCCATCCTGGTTTCTCTCAAAACCCTCACCTTCGTGAACGATCCTTCGTGATATGGTCGCCAATAGAGCTAGCTGGGAAGACAACGAAGGGATCGCGACTTACAGAGACCACCGAAACTCCCATATTTGTCCCCTACCAGAAACCATTGAGGAAGTTATGCTTTTCAATGATGATATTTTTTATGTGATAATGGAATGATCAAATCATTAAAAATAGTGAACCTTTTAGATATCTCGGGTCTATTGTTCAAAGTGGCGGTGATACAAATGAAAATGTTATTAGTGAAATTCAAGTTGGATGAAAATATTTGGGATTCGTAAATTTTTACTTCTCTTTCCCTATATACTTGAGCTTTACTTATCAAGACAATTGTTATTACTGAATGTTAAGCTTTAAGGCATTTAATTGGTAGATTTAACTCCACCATGCTTATTCATTTTAAATTTTGAAGGAGTCTAAACTTTTAAGTTTAAAATTTGTCCTCAAACTTCTTTTAGGAAAACATGCTTTTTGAAGGCAGGTGTGCAAACAAGCCTTAAAAATGGATGAGCTTCAACTGAGTTCATGCAATGTTGTCCTTACGAGTCTTGTTGAAAAAAGAAACCCTAGACTTCTTTATAAGTTTGCAGTCTCTAATATGAAGTTTGGGAATGCATGCATACAAATAGTTTTTTATTTTACTTTTATTTATCTTGCTTTTGATGCAATAAAAATCTAGTCAAATATGCTTTCTTTCTTGATATTGAATTTGTGTCATTGTGTGAAAAAATGTGCCCTGTGTTTAGCTAAGCAAATGTAGGCGGCGAGTTATGATTAGCTGATACACTTAATTAGATGCAGTGAATAATGTTGAAAGGATGCAAGTAGTTGTTGTTTGAGCTGTATTTTACATTTTACATGAAAGATTTTAAGAGATATCTATGACTGTTTGTTTCAATATTGAAGGCTGAGGTCCAACTGACATTGTTGAATCTGAACTAATATTTGTTTGTCTGAATTCAGATTTTCTCTGGATTTCATATGAGTAAAAGAGAATGGAAATGATGAGAGCAAGAAATTTTTTATATATTTTTATTTTTTAAAGATTTGAACTTATATTGAGGGTGTAGATGTAAACTTTTGATAATTTAGATTAGTATTTGTTAAATCATATTATTTTTTATCGTTGGTATTCATTTGTGATATAATTTTGTTTGTTGTTGTGATCTTAAGTACTGTTTTTATTTGTGTACAGGTTGTACGAATCAAAAAAGTTCTTTTAAATTTTTTTTTCTCAGTTACATGTTTGTGTCGGATTAGCGTCAACTTTTCTGACACTAATTCGACACAAATTTGTGTCAGAAATTTTTTGAAGCAAAATTTGATGTTAATTTTTGCAGCGTAATTCAAAGACAGTAAGTCTGACGTAAAAGTTACCGTCAAACTTTTTCGACACAAATTTGACAAAAATTGTGTTATTGACCTCTGTTTTACCGTTGGAGTCCATTCCGACGCAAATGGGACTAATCCACCAAATTATCTTCGGATTTGCCTCGATTTTGTCAGACGCAAAATTGCATAATTCTTGTAGTGAATGTAGATCAATCCATCTTCTGCAATGATTCTCCCTCTCTTCCTCAGCTTGTTAGCTTCTTTAGTTAACCTGTATATTGCTTAAACATAATTTCTAATTTCATATCCCTCCCTTGCTCCTCCAGCTTGTCAGCATTAAAAAAAAAAATCATAAAAAATGCTTGACACGCTTTGTTATTCTATAATTTTCTAATGGGGCAGCTAAACACTTGAAGACCGTCTATGTATGTGTGTTAAAAGAGACTAAATTCGATAGAGGGAAAGCTATTTTTGTTCACACTTTTCAATATAAATATAGCTTGCTATTTGAGGTCCCAAACAATGAATCAAACCAGTGATAATCATCTCCATATAAAGTTGATCCAGAAATAAGAGAATAATCTTGCGTTTGATAGGATAATAACATAGTATTTTTGGTCCTAAATTTCAATCCAATGAGTGAGAATGAAACATTTATTTCACTCATCAAATATGAGTAACACAAAAGGGATTACTCAAAATGGCAGCCAAGAGAAGAATCATAATATCACAACCAGAGGAAACTCAAACCATTCCATTCAAACATAGTCGTAGCAATAATACTGCATGTTAAAGAGTTCAGATAACTGGGAGAGCAGAGGGGGGTTAATAGACTAATATTTAACCGCATTTTAAGCCAAATGCTCCATTGGTAAGGTGAAGGACAGCAATATTTAGCAACTGCGCGAGGCTTGGGTGGTGTGTGTGGAGGGGTTGGTGCGGTGCGCTGAACAAACTGGTTCATCAGGCTACTATAGGAGCCGGATGGTCCAAGGGTGGGCTAGGGTTGCCGGCCAAAAGAAGGGTTTCCCCCTCCTAGCTATCTACTAATATAAATATATTCATTTTGCTGGTTAGGGTTACTTTTGTTTTGAAATTTTTGTCAGGACTGTCTCGAGCGTCCCTTTTCCCTTTCTAGGCTTGTATCCGACGGCAAGAAGGTGCTCCGGCTGTAACTCATCCCGAGGTGATTGTGTATCATTCATTTTATTGCTTGCTGCCATCCCCCCTGCACACTTCCCTTTCTTTCCTCTGCTGCCGCCAACCCTTCCAGCTACCACATCTGCTAACATCAGCCCCTCCAGCAACAGAACCTACTGCCACAAAACTTCCAACGTCCCAACCTGCTGCCACCAACTCCTCCAAGCACCCCTACCTGCTTCTGCAGCCCCCTTCCACTCTCTTCCATGTTGCCACAACTCCCTCACAACCCTCTGACTGTTGCAGCAACCTCCTAATCCAAAACCTACCTGCAGTCCAATAGCCATCCACCACCTTCGCCATTGTCCTAGGGTGTCTTTTATGTGTGTTGTTTTTTCTAAAGTAAAGAGTCCTTGTTTGTAACCCTACTTAATTTCAACAAAAATATTTGCATTTCTTTTGTGGTTTGAGTTAACTCCGATTGCATTCCATTTAAACATAACCACAGCTATAATACTGCCTGTTAATGAGTTCAGATAAGAACAAAGGGGGGTTAATAGACCAATAGTTAAACCACATTTTAAGCCCAAATGCTCCCTTGGTAAGGTAAAGGACAACTATTAGTATATCCATATAAATGCACTTCAAAAAAGCCCATGTGGAATTATATTAAAACACTCAATTTCTGAAATTAAGTATTAGAAAAGGTCTACAACGGATGTAGGTGAAATTGGAAACATAACAAGTTCTAGCAAATAAGCTATAGTTAAAGAACCAATTGCTTGAAAAAACAAAAAACAAAGTGAGAGTCTGAAACACAACAGAACATTTACTATGATATACAAAAGTAGAGTTTCATTCAATCCTTACCATGCCGCAGTTTTACAACACCTCTAAATACCTCCACATTGTTATAGCATAGCGCTAAAGTTCCAATCGCCATGATCTGCCGCAAATGCTTAATTGTAAGTTCAAGGACTGGTGACACTTTACAATATATATTAAAAATTTATTGCATTACAAGCTAGAAAATTTAAATGAACGGAAAAATAACAAAATTAAAAAATGTTGGAGAAGGCCAAAGTAGGAAGGGATAACATTCATGCTTAGTTTTCATGAAATAGATTAATAAAAGATATGATACCATTAATGAACATTATATAAATGTAACAATAATTGCTTTGCTATAAAATAATGAAACATCAATGGTGAACGAGTTAAAGTTTTTGACGTAAGGGATGCCCTAGCTGAACCGGTCCTTGAACCAGGTGGGAAAGTAGAATGGTTTAGCAAGGGGTGCGGGGGGCCGGCCGGCCCAAATGGCTGAGCTAGCCGCCCAAGGGGTCAGTTTTGCCTTTTAGATTCCTGCTATCGGCATTTTCTCCATTACTAGGGTTGTATCAAATGACAGGTGGTGCTCCGGCTGTATCCTGCTCTGAGGGGGTGATTATCTCCTTGATTCCTCTTTTCTTCCCCTCTTACCTGTTGCTGCCGCCCATTCCCTCCACTACTTGCCTGTTACCACCGCCCCTGCATACCCCCTTTTGCTCGCAACTGCCAATCCCCTGCATGCCCCCTTGTTGCCACCCATCTCCCTACCCTTCCCTTACAACCACCTATCCCAAACCACTCCAGGCTGTTCCACCAGCTGTCTTACCTCCACCCTAGCGGGAGACTAGCGTTGCTGTGTGTTTCCTTTCTGTTTTCAAGGCATAGCTTGTAACCCCGTTGCTTTTGCATAATAAAATCTGCTTTTCCCTTTGATTTTTGGTTACCTCCGGTATTAGTTTCTATTTTTTTTTTTTCGAAGGTACAAAAATATTGGAGATATTTGTTTCTAGAAAACAACTTCCAAGGTTTTACCAACGAAGCAAGCTAGCACTAAGCCCTTGTTTGATAAGTCAGGTGATACAAGATATAAGCCTTATAATAATAAGAGCACAAAACAGTATAAAGCTAAAAATTGTGAGTCGGGCATTATTACTATATTATGGTAAACCACAAAAAAAATAAAATAAAATAAAAACTTTGCTTTCTGACTTCCTATCAACAACATAAAATAATTCATAATAATGATTATCCGCATCCCGACTATTCTACCCTCTTTCTCTATCATGCCCTATTAGCCTTCTATATTAGAGGCGTAATCCTTGCAGTTCAAGTCACACAAAATCAAGTGAGCTGAGTTAAGAGAATCAACAATTTAAAATCGCAATTTTGGATTTAAGCCCAAATCAAGTTGAACATTCAACTTTATTTGAGTTAGATCTATGAAATCAACATTTTCAATTAACCAAAAGCTAAACCTTGACATAAAGCTCAAGCCAATAAATGCAAAATACAGAACAATACAATTTAACTATATTATTTAATGAGTAGTTAAGATTAAGTTTTGCAAATAGTTCAGACTCGTACTAGCAAATTCAGTTTTTAGGAAAAAAGACAAAAAATCCCAATATACCTGAGGTATGACACAAAATCCAAAGATAGATTTGTCCTTCAAAGCTGACATAAACACGAGGCAATCTTCTGCGTGAACCAAAGCATTAGTCACCATCTCATTCAAGCATTGCACTGCTTTTACAGCATTCTCCTCATACATCAAGTCCTAGATTAATTAGGATGTAAAATTTCAGTATCATCCCATGCAACTACAAAACACTCAAAATCTAAATCTTTTAAGTTGCATTTTAATCTATATCAGCCTAAGAAAAAAATAACGTGAATAAAAGAGAAACGCTGAAAGCAAATATCAAACAATTAAAAATTTGTTCAGATAAATTAAATTTGAACCCCTGAAAATCATAAGAGAAAATTAGTGAAGGAGCCGTAAAAATAAACCTCCAGCTTGTCAGCATATTTACTCCATATTTGCCTAGGCCAGAGAATGTAAGGCGTGGTCATCTCTTTTATATCTTCCACATAACAGCTTATTATATGTGTTTTCTGTGCGCAAAATAAAAAAATTGTCCCCAGTTAATAAATTAACTTGCTGAAGGCATAAACACTACCAAACAATGTATCAAATTGGGTTAGATACCTGGAGAAACAAGCCCATTGAGTTTGAAACTGATTCTGGGGCCAAATCTTCTAATTTAGAAGCATGAAAAAGTTTAGATAGCCCCACTCCAACCAGACCTGCTACATAATGGCAATATTCATCATAGTCATCAACCGTATCTATCTGCATGGGAAAAAATATTTAGTAGTCTATAGAAAAAAAAAATGGTAATCATTTAAAAAACTACTTAAAAAGCATGCCTTTTTTTGCGCTGTCATTAAAAGAAGAAATCACCAGTCCAGTAAGATATGATGAATGAATTGAATTCCTCAATATTTTGCTTTGCATTTGACTTTCTTTGTTGTTACCTTCCATTTCTATTGACATGCTCGAACAACCATTTTAACTTGCTTTTGAGAGCACATATGGTGTGTGGAGTAGAATGGATGAAAATTTAGTCATGGAATGTGGTATAATAGTCATTAATATATGATATGTGCATCAAAAGCATGGTTTATTCATGAAGTTCGGAATTGTTGAAAGCTCACAACACAACCATCTCAATCCTCTTAACAAGGTTTTGAGAATCTCTTTAGTGGTACATTCATCGGTAATGTATGATATGTGACATCAAATGCATCGTACCTTCATTGGGTTCATTACTCTTTTAAGGCCCACAACTTAATCTCTTTGGGCATCCAACAAGATTTAGAGAACTTCTAATGGATTCTTTAGCAATTCTCAATCCTAGTGCATAAGGTCTATTTCCTTCCTTTTTTCAATCATATCTCGATGCAAACTTTTTGATGAGTTGTAAAGACTTTTCCAGTACGTGAAGTTCTTAATCTTTGTGTGAAACTTGAAAATAAGTGTTAAAATTGCACTCTGGTCATTTTATTCCTCTTTTTTCCTATGCTTGCTATTTACTCATCAAGTCGATCCTCCTTTATTTTTTTGTTGAGATTTGTATCTAATGTAGAGTTCTATTTGTAAATATAAGTCTAGAGGTTTATTTATAAATGTTGTATGGCTCTATATTAGCCAAAAGTTAACTAAATGAGCAAGTTTTTTTTTTTTTTTTTTTTGAAAATCATTTCAATTTGGTATCAGAGCCCAAACTTTCTCTACTGTTGCTCGATCGTCGGGATCGTAATCGGCGTTGTTGGTGCAGAGACGCAGAACTCCGTTTTCCTTTCTTCCGCTTCGTCGTTGCGAAGCAGCTGCAACCAGAGCTCACTGGGAAGGAAGAGAGAGGATTACAACTCACTTTGGTAAGGCAACGAGAAGATCACGTCTTGTCAGGAAGGATCACGACATAGAACGCTCACGATACAGTTGTTGGGAAGACAACTACGGGACCACAGTTTGCGGTGTGATCCCCATCATGCAGCTCGATGCTGTAAAGACGAAGCGAAGGGGAGAAAATAACACTGCTTTGGTGTGAGGAGAAAGTAGCGGAGCAGGGCGTTCTGTTTGAGCGTGAGGGATGCGGTTCGATGGAGCGAAGACGAAGCAAAAGAGAAAAACAGTAATAGAGCCTTCGGTGTAAGGAGAAAGCCGTGGAGAAGAGCCTTCGGTGTAAGGAGAAAGCCGTGGAGAAGGGGCTTCGTGCAATGTTTCTATGTGACTCCAGCAGAAGAGTGGCGGAAGGTTTGAACTATCCACATGAACAAAGATGTGCAATCGATTTTGTGGTGGCGTGCGATCAACAGAGTCATGCAAGGGAAGCAGGCAAAGCTTCAGTTGGATTGTGTCGCGTGAGAACCACAACTACAGCTTTGTGCAGAAGAGTTAAAGAAGGGGTGTGAGACTTCTGTAGCTCTTGGGTCGCATGAAGGATTTGTGATGGTAGGGAAGAAGACGAGGAATTAACTGCTTCAAACTCAGGTATGACAAATGCTCAAGGGGAGACTCGCATGTGCTACAACTGTGAAGAAATGAGACAACTAAGCAAGGCTTGTTTAAAGCCACCTAAGGAGAGAGAGAAGTGGACGTGGATCGTCTAGAGCGGGATATTGGGAAAATCTGACAGTAACAAAGAATGAGGGAAAGATAAGGGCGGCCTTTACTAATGAGGATCACAAGTTACTGAAGATGTTGAAGAGAATAGAGAGCGACATGTGATGTCACTGAGAATGCATCCACATTATTGTCATCCAAAAGGAACATTGTTGGTAACGCTCACTCAACAAAAGATGCTCGTGATACACATGCTCTTGTCTCTATATCCACCAAAAGTTCACAAGAACGGGCAGTAGATTCTACTGTATCTCGTCATGTGACAGGTGTCACCGGTAAGTTCTTTTCCTATACTCACTTAGCAATTTTAGAGAGCATTCAGACCATTGATGAGACAACACAACTTGTGGTTGGTAAAAGTACAGTGATGTGTATCAATTATATGACTTTGACCAATATTTTGCACTCATTCCTTTCTAGTGAACCTTTTATCTATTGATGACATTATACTCCAACTAAAATGTGTTGTTTCAATTGATATTCCAAAGATGAGCTTTCAAGAGAAGGGGACTGGCCAAAAACTTGGGACTAGCACATGATATAGTGAACTCTTGTACTTGGATTCAGAGGGCATGGACTCGACCTTGGCATTCATGGTTGAGAATGCCGGAGCAGGACTATCTGAGGGGATTGTGTATTGTTGCTACATCACAGATGCATGTGACACTCTTCACTTAGTCTATTAAGTAGTTTGTATCCATCATTGCATGAAAAGGCAAATAGACAAAAACTTGTGTGATGCTTGTGAGTTTGGCAAGCATACCAGGAGCTCATATGCATTCGAATGTATAGGGATCATGCTCTATAACTTTGATGGATGGTTACGGATATTTTGTGACTTTCATCGATTATTTTTCTAGTGTTAATTGGTTATATCTGATTAGAAATAAAAGTGACGTGCTTTAACGACTTCCATAGGGCGGTTCAGACTCAATGTAGTACTTTAGTGAAGATATTGAGGTCTGATAATCAGACAGAGTATATCAATAATACATTTAGGGAATGTTTGTCAGCCCAAGGGATGCAACATCAAACTAGAGGCTCATAAACACCGACATAAAACTAAGTAGCAGAAAGAAAGAATAGACACCTTCTAGAGGTAGCTCGAAGCATGATGATCATGATAAATGTCCCAAAGCACTTGTAGGGGCGAGCAGTTTTGACAGCAGCTCAATTAATCAACAGAATGCCCTCGGAAGTATTGGATTGGAAGTCTCATTACCAGATGTTGAAATACAATACTAGTAGGATCTTTTCATTGAAGGTATTTGGATGTGTATGTTTTGTGGAAGACAACAAACCAACTGTAGGGAAGTTGGATCCCAGAGCTATAAAATGTGTGTTCGTAGGGTGTTCTGCTACTCAAAAGGGTTATGTATACTGGAGCGCGATTGATAAGAGAGTCTTTGTAAGTATGAATGTGTCATTCAGAGAGTTTAAACCATAATACACTCTGGAGGTGAATTCACGCTTTGGTGACCCAACTTTAAGGAAGACCTCCCTCAGCAATGCAAGACATCCTTCCAATCGTTTTGGGTGGGAAATTGGCATTGCAAACTTTGTTTCCTATTATAACATCTCACATTTGCATGGAGCATTCATTGCATCATTGGACTATGTCTATATACATAAGTGTTGACATGTTGCTAAAGAAGATCCTAAGTGGAAAGCGGTGATAAATGAAGAGCTTGGAGCTCTTGATAAAAACTAAACATGAGAGATTGTACCACTATCAACAGGGAAGAAGACTGTTGGATGCAAATAGATCTTCACGATAAAACAAACTCTAGAATGAAAGGTGGAGAGGTACAAAGCATGACTAGTGGCAAAAATGTGCAGTTAGACGTATGACATTGATTACGATAAAACCTTTGCATCAGTAGCAAAGATGAGCACAGTGAGGATACTGGTTTTTCTGGCAGTGAATGGTGGATGGAGACTCCACCAAGTGGAAGTGAGTAATGCTTCTCTTCATGTGAAGCTACTGGAGGAGGTATGGACATTTCACCAGAATTCAGAACATCCTAGATAGTGGGCAAGGTGTGTACGCTCAGAAAGTCATTATATGGCTTGAAGTTGTATCCTCGCGCCTGGTTTGACGAGTTTAGAATGACAATGGTTGGCATGAGATGCCAACAGATCAATACAGATCACACAATGTTCTTTCGGCAACATGAAGGCCACACTACCATACTTGTTGTGTATGTGGATGACATAGTAATCACTAGTGATGATGAGACAAAGATTACTCAACTAAACGAAAGATTGGGGAAGCAATTTGAGGTAAAGGATCTTGCACAGATACTTTCTTGGGATTGAAGTGGCTCATGGACCTGAGGGGATGGTTCTATCCCAAGAAAGTATGTATAAGATCTTCTCATGGAGACATGTATGCGGGGGTGCAAACCTGCAGTCTCTCCAATTGAACAGTAAGTCAAGCTCAGTACAAAGGCAGGTGAATCAGTTGATCGTGGTGAACAACTTGATCTATTTATGCCACACGACTCGATATTTCTTTTGCAATAAGTGTGTTGAGCCGCTACATCATGATCCAAGGAAGAGCTATATAGATGCAGTGTATCGGATTCTGAGGTATCTAAAGAATGCACCAAGAAAATGCTTGTTATTCAAGAAGAATGAACATGTAGATATTGAGGGCTTTTGTGATTCTGACTGGGCAATTTGTGCTGATGACGGACGATCCACATCAAAATGCTGCATGTTTATAAGAGGCAACTTGGTCTCATGGAAGAGCCATGACATTGGAAGTTGCTGAGATGATGTTGCTAAATATATTTCACCCACCTTGAGGGGTAGTATTGAGATTTGTATCTAATGTAGGGTTCTATTTGTAAATAGAATAAGTCTAGGGGTTTATTTGTAAATATTGTATGACTCTATATAAACCAAAATATTAATGAAATGAGCAAATTGTTTTGCAAAATCATTTCAATTTTTTGTGATTTTCTTAACTTTACTCAATTTAGATGTGTAACTGATTCAATGCAAATTTAGATAAAGGAATGGCTATAATCAATTACAATGTGCAAATTGCATCATCTCTTATGACTTCTTTGCTTTTAAAGTTCAGGTAACGCGGAATTATAATAATCATTACTATAGTTCAATTAGCTTGTGCTTACAATTTAGATTTACAATTTACATGTTACACCTTAAAATCCTTAGCAGTTTCAATTAATATGTCAATCTTTTAATTCCATTTCTTTTGCCCCATAGTTTCATTAGGGTATGTTTGAATGTAGCATTAAATCTTGATACATCAAGCCCAAAATAGATATTTGGTTTCAATAATAACCACTTAAACCTCAAATCTATATCAATGTTATTTGCATGATCATGAGCAAGATGATTAGTTTCCTGATTTTGTGGAATACATGATACGAGTACAACTAGTTCACATGAAACATGAACTCGTAATCCTTAAAGATATTCTTCTTTCCTAATCGAGGAATATAAATCTCAACAATATCGAAGAACATACTATTACTTAGATTCCACCAATCTACAGCACAAGTTCATACGAATATGCACAACAGATGATATTGCTAAACAGGTATGCCTCAACAGGTGATACTGCCTGACAGGTGATTTCATGTTAGTTGATAAAAGAATGCCTTAGGGTTTAAGGGTATAAATGCAAATTAAAATATAAGGTTGAAAACCGTTGAAACTCATATTACAAATTACTACCCCAAAGCAATTATTAGCTACATAGATGAAAATAAAAAATACAATTGAAATCAATTTTGAATATAGTTTTCTACCAAAAATTAACAACAACAATAAAGATCAGGAAAGTAGTGAGCATGTTTGAAATTCATGCACTAAATATGAAACTCGGATGGTTGCAAATCTAACTAAATAGATTCAAACTTTTAAACCAAGAGCTAAAATTGAAAGAAAAAGAACGTTTTAACTAAAGAAAAAATTCAACTATATTGATGTTAACATAACGATGACAAGCATATCTTTGAGGGTTTTAATCAAATCAAGGGTAATTACATTGCATGGTTATCAAAAACGAATATATCTCATAATCATCTCCCCTCATGTATCTAGAAAGTGCAGTAATAACATGGAATGCTGTATTACGAACCTCCTTGCTGATAAATTTTGCTATTCCTGCACCCATTCTCATCGAGATATCTTCAATTGCCACTTGATAGCTGAAAAAAAATAAAATAAAAAAAAATAATCTCAAAACAACATGCCTTGGTCGTTTTTAAAATAGGGATTCTTGAATCCAGTAGTGTAGAAGCTACTTCATAACAAATAATACAGCTTCTAAGTGGAGTATTTTTATTAATTGACTAAATTTATATCAACAAATTAAATCAAGTGGAGTCATCATGATCATCACACCTTCAGCCTTTGCAAAAAATTAGGTCTGACTTAATCTCTCTTCATGATGTTGTCACACCTACGCTTATGACGCCGTCCGTCAAATAATTTGAAAACTTATGTTAGGCGCAACACTAAAAGTAGTATTTAGTCATTTGTTAGTTATTATTGTGGGGTATAAATAAAACTTAATATATTTAGAGTTATGCTATGTGCATATGTTGCCTTGAATCTTAACATCAAGGTTTGAGAGAGATCACATACCTCTTGAATTATAGGTGTTTATCTTTTTATGTATTGGGGATTGTATCTTTTTGATTTGTTAGCGACGAAATAGAATCTATTATTTATGTCTTAATTTTTGTGAAAACTTGTCTCGTTCTTATCAAAATGGTATCAAAGAATTCAAAGTTTATGAGAAGCCAATGGTGGGATCGTGGCGTACAGGAGTTGTGCGTCGCCTTCATGATCGAACCTCATAATTGGGACCACCACTTACAGGAGTTCTACGTCGCCTTCATGATTGAACCTCTCGATACAATCGAGATTCGAGCTAGCTGGGAAGCCAACCCCAAGATCACAACTTATAGGAGTTTCACTTCAACTTCATGACCGAACCTCACAATATAGTCACGATTCAAGATAGCTGGGAAGCCAACGACGAGATCACGACGTACAGGAGTTCTGCCTTTGTGATTAAAAGCAGTCTTGGGAGTAATCACAACCAAGAAATTAGATGCTTCCAAGGAGAAATTAGAGAGGTGAGCCAATCAAATCTAGTGTGGAGAAGTGTTTCTTGTCGATTGAGGGGTGGTTCTCCTCAATGAAGGGAAGATTCACGACACTAGAATAAATGATGAAGAAATCACAATGCTTCACACAAACTTGTTGTCGTCTGTTGTGGGATTGAATGGCAGCTACTGAAGCGAACTTGAGTGACAACAATAAAAAGGATTTGCCCGACATAAGGGTAGCATAGTTACCCTAGGCAAATCTGGAGCCATGAGATTCAGTGAAGAAATTGAGAGCAGGCATCAACGACGTCACTTAGAAGGAATTGGGCGACATCCGGATGCTTAGAATGAGAAGCGACATGTGGAATGGGAGAGCATGCGATTTAGGATAGGAAAAAATCGACTCGAAGGATTTCAGCCTGGAACAGGGAACTACGGTGGGTGAAACCCCGACAGAAGGTTGTATCCAACCTCGCTAATGTTTTTTTGTTGTGGCAACCTTTCGGGAGGAAGGCGATTTAGGAACCTATGGGAATGTGTAAACTGATTATGGGATGATTCAAATTTATGAAAGAAGGAAAATCAATATAGGTCGATAAAGGAAACCCAACCCCGCTTCATGGATGGAACAAACTTTGGTCGAGGAAATTTAAGTGGCGACTCACGTATAAGGAAGTTGAAGATGTCGATCTTTGAAGAAGATGATACATATGGTTGGATTTATTGCATGGAGAAATACATTGTTATCAATGGGCTGACAGGGGAAGAAAAATTGATGGCGGTGGCCCTGCATTTAAAAGGGAAAGCTCTAGTTTGCTGTCAATGGAGAGTACATATCGTGCATTCAAAACATGAGAAAAATTCAAGCACTGATTGTTGGAGCATTTCAAAACCACACAATAAGTGGATTTACAGAAGACATTTTTTGTATTGGTTCAGAAAGAGCTTGTCATGAATTATAAGAAGAAATTTGAGATGATATCTAGACATTTGAGAGAGATATTGGAAGTAGGGTTGGAGATAAATATGCAATGAAATGGGCTTTAATAGGAGCAACATAAGGAACACTCGGCCGAAACGCTACAACCATGACGATACAAAAACTCAAATAATGGGATCTAAAGGGAGGCTCCAAAGGACAGGAATAATAGGTCACGATTGGAGGAGATATTCAAACGCCTTACAAAGAAAGAGATTCGGGAGAAGCAAGCCAAGAGGTTATATTTTTTATGTATAAGAAGTTTGCACCAGGACACCATTGTAAGAATTGGTCCTTACAGATTCCCATAGTGTGTGACGAGAAGAAGGCGAGGGATAATAAAACAAAGGAGATTATGGTGGAGGAGGAACACCCTCACTTGGCGATCAAGTTAGAATAATTCATCACCCAATAAGTCCTAATTATAAGTCAGGACAAGTGCTGGTAAGAGCTAATCTGACCAAATAGCCAGCCTCCGTCGCACCATGATTGACCCTACCAGAGGGGTTAGTTGGGGTGTGACATCTTCCTCTTGAAGAAATTCTACGACATCCCAGAATTCTTCCGTGTGGGCAATCAAGCCACTCCTGGACTCTTCTTTGCAACATATATTCTTCCTGTTGTACGTCTTCTCTTGGCCTCGCCAACACCTAAGGACCTACATCGAGCCTTCTTCTTGCCCGACAGCCCTTCTCTTTGATCTTGGCAGCAACCAAATATTCTACTGCGGGTAGTCGAATCTCCTTTCCAATTTCCTCATAAGCCCTCCTATCCTGTTTCCCTGCAGGACCATATCATCCCTACCTGCAGTCTATCCAACCAGCCTTTCAAAAAAGAAGCAGTGACAACAAACAACAATCGATCCCTGTCTTCCCACAGAAAATAAGCCCAAACTACCTTGATGATGAGGGTAAAGCAAATAGCTTGCAAGTCCACCAACAACGATGTCCAAGGAAGCAGTTGGCAACCAAGGCAGTCAGAAAGTTAGTTCCTGACCCCATCATTTCTGTCCCAGAACAGTTGTGCTGACGGAGATCAAGACATCCCAAACAAGCACAAAGCACCTCATCCATAAGCTTCCCTTCCAGAATATGCGCAGCATTTCAAGACCGATCTCTGTATCCAGAGTTCCATCATTGTTGCGCTTCAGAAAACTACGAGGACTTGTCAGTCTCTTTGAAGACACAAATCTTTGCACCATCCAAGCAAATTATGCTGAAGCATGTTCAGCTTGCTCACCGGATTTGTTTCCCTCCTTGCCATAAGTAGGGATCGACTCCTTCCATGCCTCCGCGTCTGATCTCACATTTGGCACCGTTGGAGCCATGGCTAATTCCTCCACCTCCGAGCTTCCGTTAGACACTTCTTGATTCCATCAGAGGTTCAACATCGACCTCAACCCCTTTACAGACCAGAGGATATAAACACCACAAACTCTACAGGAAATTGACAAATAAGTCTTCAACCAAATTTTCCACTTATAAATGTCTCGTTACAGCCTCAAAATCCACAACAGTTCAGTAGGATCCTACTCGGACCATTCTTGGCCCGTCGAACTCTATTGAGAGTCAGGTGGAATAAGTTGCTTGGTTCTAGTCCATTCTCCTCCGGCCCGTCGACCTCTCATGTCCATTAAGGATTGTCACTAGAGGAAGATAATTTATTTATTTATTTTTCTTTTTCTTTTTCTCAAGAAAATAAAATTGATGATGCCTTCCTTTGTTCTCCTTCGTCACCATAATTTTTTTCATGTTGTCTTCCTCTGTTCTCCTTTGTCACTGTAGTTTCTTTCCTACAGTTGGCCCTCTAGAACTTTTTCCCGCAGTAGACCCTATTTCAGAGCTCATTCCTGCGATTGACCCCCCTCTAGAGCTTTTCCTATAATAGGGTTTTCTCCGGAGCTTTTTCCTACAGCAGAACTCTTTTGGAGCTTTTTCCTAACAATCCATACCATTCAACTTTTCCTGTAAGTTGTCTACAGCCCTACAAACTTCCTTGCAACATTTTTTATAGCAGTCTTATGCTTATTTACAAAAGTTGTAGAAACTGCAGTCAAAGACAATCATAGTCGACTACAATTATCCCAAAATGCTCTTAAGGGCGAAGATTTCAAGCTCTACCTCGTAAAGGATCTTCCTCACCCATTGTTTAATGATTTCAAATCGAAGTTGAACATGATTGACTTCTATGTTTCAACTTAAAGGGAAGTGTTAGAAATTATTAGGAACTAATTTATTTCCTTTCCTATTATTTACTATTTTATGTTTTTTTCTTATTTTATGTCTTTACTATTTTATATCTTTCCTATTTTATATATTTCCTTTTATCTCCAGGCAGTTATTAGGAATTGATTAATTGTAATCTTGGAGATATAGATATTATATTTATTCTATTTTATGTCTTTCCTTTTATCTTCGAGTAATTATTAGGAATTGATCAATTATAATCTTGGATATATAGATGTTATGCATTTCCTATTTTAGAATTCATGTAAGTTGTATTTATACCCCCCCCCCCAAATTTCGTATAAATAAAGAATTCTGCTAAATTTTAAAAACCTACAAAGGGCCTAACTCTGAGCCACACTATGAAACTTCTGGGATAGATCGAAGAGCAGGACGAAGTGATGTTGGTAGATAATCGATCCACCCACAACTTCCACTTTACTCAAATAATGAAGCAATTGGGGCTTGAGATGTTTGACACGAATAATTTTTGAGTCATGATGAGTACATGACAGGCGAAGAAGACGAGGGGAGTTTGTAAATGGGTGATTTTAACATTGCAAGGTATTCAAGTGCTGGAGGGTTTTCTTACCTTAGATTTAGGAAGCAGTGACGTGATATTGAGAATGAAATGGTTGCAATCCTTTGGAGAGATTGAGATAAACTGCAATAACCCTAAAGACCAGGGGTTTCTTCCATCAATGTGCACCCATACTGCTGCCCCCATGGTTTTAATTCAACACTAATAGAGTTAGTTGAACCTTTCGAGAGAAAAGGAGGCAATCAAATTAGGAGATGGAGCTTAAACTTCATGTAGACTTAAAAGACCTGTTGACAACACTTTGCAATGATCCAAAAACTATCATTCTTGTTCTTAATCGAAGTGA